TGTAATCACAAATCCAAGTTACATAGTCCTTGAGATGAGCAAGTGTCCCAGTTTTCAAAAAGGGGGCAAAAGACCTACTGCTACTTCAGACCAATGCGATTAAAGTTAATATTACAAAAGAAAAGATTACTAAATTGATAGAGGGTGAACAAGAAGTCCTAATTTTTTAGTTTTGAATAATAATAATGTAGATATGGATATGGCAAACAAACTAGAGTATGCATTTAGGAACAGAACTTAGTACGGAAAGTAAGTGAAATTTGTAACAAAGTTAATCTGACATACTTAATGCTATGCATAATTTTTATCATGCTGCATGGTAATCAAGCATAAATGGAGCCCTTCATGCACATGAAAATAATTAATATTCTTTTGAGGCAGCATTTCTAAAGTCAGAGAGTGGGGTTGGGAAACAGAAGCCAGCCAGCAGCTGCTCCACTCCCGACACCACTCCACCCAGACACCCCTTAGGGAAGGCGGTTGCTCTGCCTTAAACCAAGGCAGTCCCAGACTCCAGCCAACACCCAATAGCTGGCGCTGGGTCGCCATGTCTACTGGGATTCTCTGTGAGAGGAACCCAGGAGAATCTGATTCTAAGGGGGCAGGAGATATCCTTTCTGATGAAACCATCAGTAAGAGGAATCCTTTCCTGGGCAACTTTTTTTTTTTTAAAGAAGATGTTGGGGGTAGTAGTTTAGTAATTTATTTATTTTTGCTGTGTTGGGTCTTCGTTTCTGTGTGAGGGCTTTCTCTAGTTGCAGCGAGCGGGGGCCACTCTTCATCGCGGTGCGCGGGCCTCTGACTATCGCAGCCTCTCTTGTTGCGGAGCACAGGCTCCAGACGCACAGGCTCAGTAGTTGTGGCTCACGGACCTAGTTGCTCTGCGGCATGTGGGATCCCCCCAGACCAGGGCTCGAACCCGTGTCCCCTGCATTGGCAGGCAGATTCTCAACCACTGCGCCACCAGGGAAGCCCCCTGGGCAACTGATGAACACCCAGAAACCATGGGATTGGGTTAGCTGGAGCAAGTGGCTGAGCAGAGGGAAGGAGGATGCAAAGGGGAAGTGGTAGTGAGTCAGCTGTCAACTGCATTTAAGATGTTTGTTATTTGATACCCAGTGTTCAGGGGATGGGAGTGGAGTGGATACAGGCTGAGCCTGAGTGGGGAACTGAGGTTGGGGAAAAAGGGAGGGAGGCGGGCAGCTAGAGGACAACTCCTGCCGGCAGAGGAGAGGGGGGATGACAGGAGCTGAAAGAGAGATGGAAAAAGAGAAAGCTTCGCAAGAAACAACATTCACACTTTTCACAGGAATGAGCCCTGGGTTTAAAATGATATGCTGTCTGGCATTTGCTTCAACAATTCAGTGTGTGTTTGCAGGAGCAATGGGGTGGGGGTGACCGGGGGGCACAGATGAAACAAGATTGGCTGTATGACCACAATTGCTGAAGATGGGTGGTGGGTACCTAGGGGTTCACCACGCTATTTTCTCTTCTTTTATACATTTCCTTTTTTTTTTTTTCTAAGCTACTAGTTTCCCATCTGACTCAGAGTAAAAAAAAACCAAAATCCTTCTAATGGCCTACACAATCTTGCCCCCTCCTCTCCTGTTATATCTCTCACCACCTTTCCTCCTCCTCTCTCCCTCATTCTCTGCTATTCCTTCACCAGACACACTCCTCCCACCTTAGCGCTTTGCAAGGGCTGGTCTCTCTGCTCAGAGTTGTCTGCACCCAGACATCCACATGGCTTACCCACTGTCTCGAGGAGGTGTCCTCTGACCATCCCATTCAGAATGTCAGCTCACTCCCCTTTCCTCCAGCCCTGGAATTCCAGAGGAGTTCAGATTTATCACCCTATGTTTATTTTTTCCATACACTTAAAATCTTCAGACATACTATCTAATTTACTTACTTCATGTTTATTATCTGTCTTTAGCACCAGAATTTAAATCACCAGAGAAAAATAATTTTTGTGGGTTTTTTTTTGGGGGGGGGTGTTGAGTGACTGGAACAATGCCTGGCACTCAGTAAATGTAAGTAGAATAAACGTAGGAAGTTTTAGAACCACTTACAAAGCTGAGACAAGGCAGGGAGAAGGTGTCTTCGGCCCTGGTACTAGTGCCTACTTCAACAGCAGGAGTAGCTAAGACCCATCCACTCCCGCCTCGCTCTCTCGCACTACGCAAGAAATCTGGGGCACCCGATTGCTGAGGAGTGCAGAACTTATACATAGCTCCTCAGAATCATTGCCCTCCTCCCCAGACTTGAGGCAGAGATTTCATAACATGGTTTTGAGACATCTAAGCCTAGCTCCAGTTATGTCACGTGACATCACAAACTTCTCAACCAAACTCCTCATGACAAGGAGAGGAATATCTGTCTAAACCGTATAATTGAAAAACTTCTCAAAATTGGGGCTTTGTAACTTTCAGGAAACTTTAGGCTTTAGCTAAATGCCTATTTTTAGGAGGAAGTTATCACAAAACCAATGTTCAAAATCAGTTCCATGATTAGGAAGAACGTGGGCATCAAAACCCAATTTAAAAAGGCTACTTTGTGCCAAGACTTTTTATATGGGAGGCAATTTCCAAAAGCCTTATTCCTTCCTGAATTTACAGCTACCTCCTTCACTAAGAAGTCACTCCTATACATGCCTTCATTTCTCCGTGGCACAAACTAGCTGTGGAGCTTGGGCAAACTACTCCTTTGGGCCAGTTTTCTGATAACAAAAACACCCCCAGAGGATGTGTGTGTACCTCTCAGAACTTTCAGAAGATAGACATAATCTTCGGAAATCAAATAAACAACAGAATGAAACCCCACAAAAGGCTGGGAGGCGTTGCCTTAAGTGATAGCATGAGTATTGGCAGGCATGGGAAGAGGATTATCCGTATCCTTTTTAACAATGTTATTAATCAAAGAAAATACTGTTTGATCTATTCACAAGTGATTGTTCAGTGATATGTCACCGTTTATAATATAGATGCATGCAGAGCCTGGATGACCCTCCTGGGCTGATCAAGGCCAGAATGTAAGCCCAGGGTAAAATGGACAGGCTCCCTGCTTCCATTTCCACAGACTAGGCCTAGATGCCTTGTGCTGCTCCCAGGCCTGAGGAAAGATGCCATCTGGAGGATCCCCATTTCAGAGAGAAATCCAGTGCAAAACTGACCACGAATGGGTCTCCAACAATTCAGGATCCATAATGTAACAGCAGCCACTATTAAGTCACCTAAGGGATTTAGGTTCTTTTTAACAAAAACTCTCCTTTTTACTAATATCTTGGGGACCCTTTCTGGAATTTCATTTCCCAGTCATTTGTATAGTTCTGGGTGTAATTTGGGAAGAGGTTTCTTTCCGTTGGCCTACAGATCCACTGAATGAGTCAAGCCTCGTAAGTTTCCCTTACTCACATAATCCGCACGCTCTTTCTAGAGGAAGCAGGCTCCCCTCCTGGTCCATCTCAGGTTCCCTATCTGAATAGGTACCTTCAAGGTCCCTGTAAGAGCTGCCAGACCCAACTCCCATGTTGCTAAGCCAGATGGCTCGTCCCTAACCAGAACGAATATCCACTTAACCACCAGCTGTCAATTGCCTTGGCCAGGGAAGAGGATGGAGTCTGCCCACTCTGTGTGCCATGACATACACACTATTCATCAGAGGAAGGAGTCCCGAGGGATGGGGTCTACAGGGCCTCAGAAGAACTATGATGCAGTTTTCTGTGCTAATGGGGGAAGGAAGGGAAGGAGAGAGGAGTGTGCTTTCCAGTTACAAGAGATCCCACCCCCCAATTGCTCTACCTGTCAAGCAACAGGAATAGCTTCTATGAACAAAAGAAATACGCTATGTGTGCAACAGTCCTGCAAGGCATTTAGTTCAGTTCTGTTCTTAGTTCCCCATCCCCTCAATTGCTGAAAAAAGAATGCTAGCTGAAATGGTGTGGATTTTCCAAAACAGGTATTTTCTTCACCTGTGCAAATAGTCCCTTCCCCCTCTCAAGAAAGACAACTACTTTGTTCTCAAAAAACTAAAGTTGGTTCAGGCAAGTCTTTTTTCTGTGCGTTCTCATAGTAGGATATGCTGAGTATAGACAGAGAGGTTGTCACTAACCACAGCTGAGTTCTCTTATAAAAAGAAACCAATCTTCTTTCTAATTCTTTCTTCTATGACCCCTAAATTGGTAAAAGAAAAACTAAGCAACCAGAATGTAGGGGCTGAGCTCAAACTAAGAACAAGAAGGTGAAGGCAGAATGTGTGCCAGGGATCAGGGGTTGAAGCCTAAGGAAGCAGGCTCACTGTACTGAAAACATCCTCCAGACAGCATCTCCTCCAAGGCACACAAAGATCGATCGCACTCTTTACCTCTTTTCACAAGCGGAATTCCACATTTCAGGGTGAAGAGAGACAATCCAGAGTCCTACTGAGAATAATTTTAATAGAATATAAACCTCCAATGGCTGCAAAGAATTAAAAACACAGAAAGTTGAGCTGAAGGATTACCCACATCCACCAAATAAAAGATTAGGCTACCAAACCCAGAGTTAGCATCTCATGGCACATACATACCAAAGGAACACTGAAATTTTAAAGCTCTGCCATTTGATAAGGTACAGAAACAGTGGAATTTGAGAAGACAAAAAAAAAAAAAAACAACCAATAAAATAGAATTTAGTCCGGGAATTCCCTGGCAGTCCAGTGGTTAGGACTCCTTGCTTTCACTGCTGAGGGCCCGGGGTTCAATCCCTGGTAGGAGAACTAAGATCCTGCAAGCCACGTGGCTCAGCCAGAAAAAATATATAATTTAGTAGAAATAGCAAAAAGTGCCAAAACTTTATACTGAAAGAAATGTTAAATTATCAGATAGTGTCATGAAGAAAGACGGTAAGTCATTGAGTCCTCTGTGAGGATCATAAATGTTGATAAAAAAGAATGGCATGAAAGATAGGAAAACTTGATGGTCTCTTTTGTCGAAGTTCCCATGTTATTAAAGACACTCACCCTTAACTCTGAAAAGCATTATTTATTGGAAAGAAATATTGAAGGAAGTCTTCTTAATTCCTGCAAGACCAATTTATGGTTCCCTTGCCCTCCAAAATATATCTCCCATCTCTCACAAATTCTTTATCCTGACTCTTGGAATGACCTGGATTCCTTGATCCAAGGCCAGGGCTTATATTTTCAATGGACACAGTTCCCAGAGGGCCCTGGAAGCAACATGAAACAATGTCACCCTACAGTTTCTTATTAAGGGAGGGTGGCTAAAAAGTCAACAAATTGAGGTGCTTCATTTGACATCTGATCCTAACAACCAGTTCTTCAACAAAGCCTCATACAGGCCAGGAGGTAAGGCGTTCTTAGGTGAAATCAAACTTCCATGATATATCAGTTCACCAAAACCAACGGGTGATTCCAAGAAGTCTTTAAAGACTAATTACGCCAAGAAAGGAATCCACCTGCTCAAGAAATGGCTTTCTCAGGAAGATGGAGCTATTTAATCTTGGCAAGGGCAGCTGCTCTTCTTTCTGTGTTCTGGAACAAGGCACGAATTAAAGCTTTTACTTCACTGGAAGAGAACGCAGCTGCCAAGGGCCCTTTTCCATCTGCCCACCTGCAAAATGAAAAACACAATTTCTATTTCCTATTAAGTATAAGCCAGATTTTTAAATTGCGTATTTGATCCCAAGAGTGTATTTGTTTAAAATGGAAATAAAACAAATTCTGGCATTCTTCCCCTTCTTTACGAATCTACCAGTCAGTATCTTTGACATCTTCTACTTCTTGGCTGCATTTTGGTAACAGCATAGACAGACAAAGAGACCAAGTTAGGAAGATAAAACTGTTCTCCCTCATTCTATACTCACTAAGCCCGTTTGAACTTGACAATTATGACCACATCCTCACATGGTTATACAGAGTAATGGGATCTGTAACTACTTTAAAAAGTGAGCCACAGGCAACACATTTTAACTGACAAAGGATAAGTATAAAAAATACATATGAAATCACAAACAACCCCGTAGAATAAAGGGTAAAAAATATGAATAGCTCAGAGCTACAGAGAACAAACCAGTGGTTACCAGTGGGGAGACGGAAGCGGGGAGGGGGAATTTAGAGGTAGGGGACTAAGAGGTACAAACTATTGTGTATAAAATAAGCCTCAAGGCTATATTGTACAACAGGAAATATAGCCAATAACAACTATAAAGAGAGTATAACCTTGAAAAATTGTGAATCACTATATTGTATACCTGTAACTTAATAATATTGTGCATCAACTATACTTCAAAAAGAAAAACACACAGAGTCCCAATATAAAAAAAATGTAAACAGGCATTTTACAATAGAAGAAAAATGATCACTAAAAAGATGCTCAATGTCATTAGAATTTAGGGAAATACAAATTAAAATGACAACGAGCTACCATTTCATAGCAACTAGACTAGCAAAAATTTTAAAGTCTGATAATACCAAATACTGGTGAAAATGTGAAGCAACAGGATAAACCATGAAATGTGCATCTATAAAATAAATAAGTCACAGGCAGGGATGTAACATACACATGAGGAATATAGTCAATAATATTGTAACAAGTTTGGTGATGGATGGTAACTGATCTTACTGCTGTGATCTTTTCATAATGTATAAAAATATCAAATCACTATGTTGTACACCTGAAACGAATATAATATTGTATGTTAATTATAACTCAGTTTTTTAAAAAACTATGAAATATTTATATAATGGAATATGATACAGCAGTGAAAATGAACTGCAGCTACAGATACCTTCACGAAAGAATTTTCTGAACAAAAGAAGCAAGTTATAGAAGACTCCATTTAGGGATATGTGCAAATGTGGTAAAACTATAAAGAAAAGCAAGGAGATAAATAACACAAAATTCAAGATAGTGGTTACCCCTCTGGCAAGGACGATTTGGAAAAGGGTACATAAGGGTCTTCAAAGGTAGTGGTAATATTTTTAAGCTGAGCAATAGGTACATGAACATTTATTTCACTCTTTCTTTAAACTGTGAATATATGTTATATATACTGTACTCTTTCACATGTATATTTTATAATTTTTAAATGTTTAAACTACACAACTGGAGATAGTTACCTTGGTAAAAAAATTTTCTCAATTAGTTATTATCCTTATATTTACTGAAATCTCTAGGACGAAAAAAAATCTTCCTAGGCAGAAGAAAAGAAGCTGAGACATATCAGTATTGTAATTTTTCTCATAACGAAGAATTAACGATCATTCTTGGGTTGCAAGAAGGCCCTTTAACAGCCGAAAGAAAAATTCTTATCTGCTGCCCTCTGGAGTCTTACCTGAAGACATAACTCACTAAGGACTTGTAAATAACAAATGAATAAATCAAATTTTATACTAAATGTAGTTAGAGGTATTTTGATGTGATTTTTTTTTTCAAGCAAAAAAATCTCATTTACCTTGTTTTAGAATGGATAGTATTTGCTGGGAACAACTCAGACACATCTAGGACAACTAGTCTAATGTAATTGGGCATCTATAATAAACCAAGCCAAAGTAGATAGACAAGTAGCTATAGGGATGGATATGGACCTTAATGCCTACTCAGTGAGTTCCCTATACAAGGTATGCATGCTTGTTAAAAATATACCAAGACAATAATAAAAGCGTCCAAGGATGTATAACTAGCCCACATCTATCCAGTTTTTGCATAGTATTAATGACCTTCACACACTCAGTATGATACGACATAGCATACAATTACAGAGCACAGCAACATTAACTGATGGTATTGAGAGAAAACATCATCTACTATATTTAAGAAAATATGAATCCTTTCTACGTGTGTGGTGCTGAATCTCTAAAACTACTTTACTCCCTGTAGAAAAACTGCTGGTCAATCAAACAATGGTTTGATGCTGAATATTCTTACAGATAAAAGTCACTTCTCTGTTAACATATCAAAGCCAATCTTAAAATGCATCCACTGTTGATTAAAATGGGCAAGAATTTCCATCCAGGTGTCAGATGGTTGTACTCCTTGTAAGTGCAAGAAGTACAAGATCACACGTACAGCATGACAAAACAACATGCTCAAGACCAAAATAATAGAAACAAGAAGTCTTTACGCTATCAAATATGAGAAAATGGTCATGAGATCCACACTATGATAGACCATGCAAAGGCCCCACCTACTGCTACTCAATATGAAACTTTCCTGAGTAATATTAATAAGAAACAGAGAGAAGCACTGCTCTCAATGGCACTAATACTCTTTTATAGCTGTGAAGAGATATATAAATCCTATAGAAGGATTTTACCCACCGATCCCCAATTTCTTGCAGGCTGGCTTGTAACATTATCATCAATTCTTTGAATGGCATCCATTTTGGCACATAGACCGGAACCTCTTCTTGATACTTCTTGTTCTTGTTTTCTTCAGACAGAGGTGCAAATACTTGAGGTCCTTCATCCATCACTGTTTTGCATAAGGAATACAATCTATCACCATCTTCAGTAGAGATGTCCTGATTTTGCACAAAGGGAACACAACAGAACAGAATTGGGCCAGCTTAGCAGTAAGTAAAAAGCAGACCTTTGGTGTATACTATTCAGGGGGTCAGCCACAGCAAGATGTTTTCCAACCAATTTAGCACACCTTACTAGACACTAGATTTCATCAGTTCTGACAATACTCCTAAAGCTAGAATGACACAAAATATGTTTCAACAGATTGTCGGTAATTTAGTTTGCCTGCATGAAAAAATCCATTTCTCCAACAGAATGTGGTGCAGTTTGCTGCAAAGCAGGGAGTGTTATCACAAGGGTTTAGCCTATCTATACTTTAGAGGTATCAGCTGGCAGAGTCCAGGCAACTTTCCTGTAGGATCACACATGTGTGTTGGTAAAGTGGTACCTGCACAAGGCTGCATTTCACTTTACTAAATTATTTAGTTCACGTACATGTTAAGTATATATGACTTCACACTTTACATTTTGGGAGCACTGCCCCATTTCCAACTTCCTCATTCATAATTTACACAGATGCTAGATGGAGAAGCAGCATAACCCTGCTTTCTTATACAGGTATGAAAGATAGAGATTAGCAAGTCTCCAGCAAAACAGAATTAAGATAAAAGTGAAAAAAATAACAGTATAATGAGTTAGACATGACACATGAACAATTTCTTCTACCATCTGTGTTGACTAAAGATGAGACTTCAACATCACTTCCTTAGGAAAGTGACAATCTGGAACAAGAACTGCATCTCAAGTCTGGTGAGGCATCTAATGGCCCTTACCTCTAGGGCAGTGATTCTGCCAATGATCTCAGAAATTGTTGTACTGAGTAAAGTCCCCATAGCCTTGCAATATATGTTCACTGGCAGGACATCCTGCCACACAATTCCAAGTCTCTTTAGTTGGTGCAGTACCTGTCAGAAGAATACAGATATTTACATGGAAGAGAGATTGTTACAACTCACATTTTTCTAGATTTACATTTATTGTGTGTGTGTGTGTGTGTGTGAGAAGAAGTGTTACATGACGGTGAGGTAAAGTAATCAAGAACATGTGCTTCTTGAATACTTCACCCTAGTGATATCTCTGCTAGATGAAAAACTGACTTATTCTGAGGATGGGAAAACTAGTAAAAAGATAAGTCACTTAGGAGAGAGAGGCATTTTTCTGAGATGAAAGCTAGTATTTCAAATTTCCCAAACCTAAGTTCATGGGTTAAATACTTGCTATGACAGACTTATTATTCCCATCACTAGTGGCTTGATGGGAAGATAGCTTCCTGTTGACTTGGTGGGGTAGGGGAAGGGAAAGATCGTACACAAGACTGTAAAAGGTAGCCACATTTTCCAATGGGAGTTCTGGGGAATGAACTGAGCTACCTGTTACATACTCTTTGCTGCTTAAAAAACAAGGTGGGGGAGCATCTAAAGGAAGAGTACAAATTCCAGAGGGAACAACAGCCCCCACCTGTCGGACTGCTTTACTTGCTGCAGAGTAATTGTCCTCATCGTCCATGTTTGAAAAGTTTCTAGCACTTGATAATCTTTCCAGAAGTTCTCCTTTCTGTGCCCGCATTTGGGCCAAAAAACACTCTGTCCCTATAATAAGAAAAGAGAATAAAGAATTCTAAAAGTTGTTCAATTACACAATGCAAAACCAGGGTGGAAGAGGAGAGACAAGCATGAACTGAATATCTGATTCTGCCTATTTGAAAACAACTGCTTGTTAGATAACATCATAAGGTTGCCCTAAGGTTACTAGAAACATCACTGCTAATACATTAGCCGGTCCCTCCAAGCCCACCCTCAGGATAGTAAGTCTTTTCCAACAGTTTGTCCAGAGTCAGATAAGAAAAACTGCTTGTACAGTAGAAGTAACTGCTTATTTTTCTGATATATCTACACCACCTAAGGGAAAAGTCAGGAATTGAAAAGCTAAGCAAATCATATAGATTCTCTGCTTTTCTTAGGCTATCATTATTGACTTACCCCACATTTCTTTTGATTTTTAATAATCAGAAGTAAAGCTAAAGGAGGTAGAAGAGAAGGGAGCTAGTTTGAGGTTTTGCAAAAGAATAAGCACTGTCATTAGTGAGCTCTTACCAACAATGTTAACAGAATTGTCACACTACATCTTAGTATGTGTCACTCTACTGACATAACTCTGATTTGGTGAATTCACTGCACACCAGAAATGCAGTCTGGAACACTAATGTACCATGAAATCACGTCATGAAAAAGTAATGCTTTCAAAAGACTGCATTCACTTTTTAAAACTAAGTAACTGGGAACACCTGCAAATTAAATGCCCTCCCACTTTCCAATACAGCTCAGGACCACCACCTAATTTCTAACTGCTGCATTCGTAAATTACAAAGATACTAGTCTGATAAGCTGCATTATCAATATGCTTCCTAAATTTAAAGCATCAGTTACCAAGTCTCCTGAAGCCAGGTACAAGATCCACAAAAGTAGTAGTGCCATCACACAGAATGGGGGCAAGACGCAATCTGAACTGATGCCCGAGGGTCAGCAAGTGGTGAGCGATATACATACAGTTGTTGAGGTGAATGGCAGCCAACTGGGGCAGTTTTTGAAGGTTCTCCCTAGGTCAGGAGGAAGCGTAGGAAAAGAAAGAAATCTCCTGTTATTGAAGTTGGGGTTGATGAAGTTACTCTTTTAATGTATTTCTAGGTGTTAATCATTGTCTACTGTATAAATGCTGTACCTAACAAGGCATAACCTCAGCACGCCCACTCAGTCACTGAGGTTGTTCTGCCTGCATGGGACCTTATCCTTTAAAACTATCCTAGTGATTAACAAAAAACAACAAGGGAATCAAGATGTTACCTGTGTCAACTCTTTATACTAGAAACCTGGCATAGCTGTACGTAATAATTCCCTTGAAATCTAACACTGATAAGTCTGTGGAAATGTTTGCTTCCCCTTTCTCCAAATCCCCATTTCATTTGTACAATGAAGCACTCAACTATTTTTTAATTCACTAGTTTTCAAAGCTGGCTACAGATTAGGGTCACCTGAGAAATTTTAATATAGAGACGCTTAGACTTCACCCCAAACAAATTAAATCACAACCTCTGAGTGAAGCCAGGGCATTTATATGTTTTAAAATCTTCCCATGTGATTTTAAATTTTCATAAAAGATTGAAAATCACTGCTCTAATTCTTCTGCACATATTGGTCTACCTACCCAGCTTGGGAAGAGATCTTGTCTTATACCTCTGCTACATATCCACTAGCAGCCATTCAATTAATACTTCCTAGTTTGCTGATTCAATGTCAGGCTAGAATATATAAAATTGGAAACTAACAATCTTCAGACAGTTGTCCTCACTTTGGGCTACACATCAGAATCATTGTAGGGCTTTAAAAAACAGAGATATGTTTAATCTTAAACCATACCTATAAATCAAAAATCTCTAGGGGTAGGGCCTAAGCATATATATTCTTCAAGGTCCATAAAAGAGTCTAAACTACTGCCAAAGCTGTGAACGCTAATCTAGAACGGTGGTTCTCAAAGTGTGGTCCCCTGACAAGCAACATCAGCATCACCTGGAAATCTGTTAAAAATTCTAGGCTTTACCCCAGCCCTACTGATCAGACACCTCAGGCATGGGACCCCGCATCTGTAGTTTAACAAGGTTTCCTGGTGATTCTGATACACACTGAAGTTTATAAACCACTGGTCTAGCATAAAGTTCCCAGATCATACAATGCGGAAAAAGAGGCAAATCTAACTCCACACCAGTGTGAAAAATGTTTCTAAGCATGAAAACCCCTAAGCCAACTGTCTCTGAATCCCCAAGGATGTGGCTATTAACTGACCCGAAGATGTTTTTTTTCCTTTACCTAAGTAGAAAGTGAAATAAAAGTTTTAAGCCACAGCAAAGAGAATACAAATAAAAATAATGTTTACAATAAATAAGCTTTTAGAATAAAAACAATAACTGGCCCTACTTAAAAACATCTCAATCTGAACTAAAAAGTACTACAAACAATAAACTGATTTTTTTCTTTGAAACCAGAGTCCTTGACTAAGGAATAGCTTTGTTGACATATTTATTTAAAACATTTGTAAAAGGTATCCAAAACACTTAATTTGGATAACAGAGAGAACTCCTGGAGACTTAAAGTTATGAGTAACTTCTGAGATTAATATTAAGAGAAACCTTAAAAAGCCAAGACATTAGGTAAATACAGCTTAAGATTGCTAAGAGCGGCTGATCGACAGTTAAATAGCAATCTCTTGTGGTATTCAGTCTGCAAAGCTATGAATGCCAAGGGAAAATGTGGGATGTTTACTGGATAGCAATATGGAGTCATGGATGACCTTTTGTTTTGTAACCAAATAAAGTGAGGCAGTTCTGCAAGCACCTACCATCAGTAACAGGGTAAAGTCCTTTTGAGTCTTTAAATCTGTGTCACCTACTATACTGCAAGATTATAGTACCCTTATTAATTTATTAATAAATGACCCATGTCCTTTAAACATGTAATGTAAATGTTTACTGCATTTCATTGTGAATTTTAGTAACCAATTATCTTTGGTGGGAATATAAAATTACTGGTTTTAACCTGACTCACAAACATTTTAGACCTACAATATTACACAGAAGTCAGACACAGTGGCACATACTTGTGATATGTTGGTACAACATCATGGAACAAATGGAAGATATTCCTCACTGAGTAGAAAAGTTGAACAGCACTAAAAGGAAAACACAGTTTCAACAGAAATGCAGAAGGATATATTGGCAATGAGAAAAAAAATTCAAACTCAGTGCACCTGAAGGGAGAGTCAGCAGCAAAAACTACAGCTGGAGAGAACAGATGCCTTGGTCACTGCTGAGAACACCATTCCTCTAGATGGCATAGATTCTCAGCAGTTATTCACTAAATAGACTACAGGTCTAAAAACCTGGACCCATTAATAATATTAAGAATAGCAGCATTCAACCCAAAGCCTCTTTTCCATTTGTCAGTTTGTGTTCTGCCAGTACCCAGAGTACCCCTTCAGTGACAAATGGAGCTAAGCCTCGAGCAAATGTCACCTCCTCACTGACACACTGTGCAAAGGGCAAGGTATCAATAAAGGCACTCACTGGTGCTGTCGGAACCAGCCTGCCTTTCAGCCTCCACCTTCCCTCCTTCTCACCCCAATGCAAGGAGATGAATCAACATTTCTAGGACAGAATCCAACCTCAAGTTTTCTTGCCCTTTAAATCTGGTCTTAGAACACCAAAGATCATTATTAAAAAGCACTTAGGAAGAGCAAATATAAGGTTTGTGTAGCTTACTTCTACATAAGAATATTTTAAATTATGTACCTTGAATACATCACAGGAATTCCACAAATAACTTTTAAAAATTAGTCATGATCACTATACCCCGAAACACTGTTACAACTTGATTACTATGATACCGGACTAGATTATTTCATGTGTTGCTGTTTGAAGTTTGATAATAGGAAAAGTGAGTTGTTGTAATGTAGTTGTGTTTTTGTTTATCCTGTTGAAACTATTTTTTTGGTGGGAAGAATGTCCATAGACATTCAGTATACAAAAATATTGTTTGGTATTCTCTTAGGAAAAATTGCCTTGCATCCCTAACTTCTGGTCTGGTACGTTTCAGGTGAATGCCATGTAATGAAACAGTCACTCCTATATTATTCTGCCAAAGGAGTGCATAATTCCTTTTACATGTATTTTTCTTCCTACTTAGATTTAAAACTGGATGGACTTGTGAATATAATGATTCATTCAAGTCAAGGAAGTATCTTAGTGAACATGTTCTTTCTAGAGCAGAATGAAATAAAGGGGTTAGTTTGTACATGGAGATAAAAACTGAAACTCCAGAAGCCCATCGGAAGACACAATTTAAGTCAAGCCCTAACTGAAACTGTTTTCTATATGAGGATGAAAAGTAAAAATACTACTACACACAGATTCAAACTAAAGAGGCTTTTTAAAATCTGCTCTATAATCAATTTGAGCTACTGGCTACCATTTTCTCCTCAATTTATAAAGTTTAGGAGTATGGGAAGAGCCTACTAAACAAAAAGAGATTCAGTACAAATGTGCAAGTATATGGATTGAGTTTGGGTACCTTGAATACAATATTGATTAGGAGAAAGCTTCTTGAAAGGGAGAAATCAGAACTTTGGTGCATTCCATTCTTTTCCTTCTACCTTTGGCTACCCAATAAACTATTATTGCTTTAAAATTAACATTTAAAATGTAAATTAATTAGGGCCTAGATTTCAAAAGGTAAAATGGATGTTAAGCTAAAGGGCCAGAGCATGCTGAAACAGATGGTACAACTATCACTAAGACCACCACCACCAATACTGATAAACATCTGAGTATCAATTATTTCCCAGGTAGCATTCTAAGTTCTTCACAAGCACTTTCGCATGTAATATCACTGAAGTCAAATAAAGTTAAAAGTAAACAAAAATTAAAGGGCTTTTTGTTAAAAAGTGATTAACAATTTTTAATGTCAAACCCATTTGTCTATCCATACAATGCTTTTATTGCTCATACCCTGTTGTAAGATTGTATGTTATTGTAAATAAAGGTTAATTGTTAATACATACATGTGTACTATACTTTTCTCAAGGGAAAAAAATATTAACTAATAAGATAAGAAAACCCAAAGAATTCCAGTTAATTTTCTTAATAAATGTCTAGTTTAGATATACATTTAACCAAGTCATTGCCATTTCCAGAGGACTCAGAACTCGTACCATTGATCACTGCTAGTTGTTGCCTCCAGTAAAGTCTGATAGGCGAGTTCCATTAATTTCTTCACAGATTCACTGATGCGGCATGTGGGCAAAGAAAAGGAATGTTGGTCCAACGTATTTTCAGGCTCTAAATTCATCACTTCGTTGTACTGGGTTGTGGACACTTTCTGTACTTGTAGTTTGTCACCCTCAGCAGGACTAGGTAAATCTGGCACACTTATCTTAGAAGCAGGAGTAATCTAAGGGTCAAATACAGAAACAAAGAAAATGCACTGTCCTCAGAATAATCCAAATGCAAGCATACAGTGAGGAATAAGATACCAGTTGCTTCCATGATGATTAAGCTGTGGATCTACAGAATAATTAAAAGATTTGAGTAAACATGGCAGTACTTTAATGACTACTCAATCTTGGGTGAAAGCACGTCATAAGAAATAAGCAATCCCTTTACTGTGCCATTCTTCTAGTTCTTCTGTGCACTCTCACTCTTGGTGGAAACAGCAAAGCTGTGAAACTGGCCTAAGATTTTAGGTAAATGAAAGGACCTTCAAAAATCCTCTTTCTCAGATGAGACTATTAGATTAACACACACCAGTATGACTTGTGTTCCACTGTCATTAAACAAATTATTTCCCACCAGAAACACGTGTTGGCTTACTCAAAGAAACAACACATTCAGGCTAGCTTATACTGCTCTTAAAAACAAAATTCCAAACAAAAACCAAAAAAGCTTCCCTAACATTTATACAGAATGAAAATTCCCAGACTTGGTCAAGACTAAAGGAAAGAACACTAGGCTTCTAGTTTGGAAACATCAGTGATATTTTCTACCCTAACTTTTAACAAAGTCATTTAACCTCTCTTGAACTCAATTTTCTCATTGTAATATGAAGAAACTGCACTACAATAATGGTTTTCAAACCTTGCTTCTCGAAGATGCCTCAGGGACCAATAAAAGGAGAGATTAAGCAGGTGGAAGCAGCAGGTTCCTACTGCAAGAAGAGCAGCTCTGCTCTGCACATACTGGACCTCTATGGAAAATTTCTGACAGAAGAAGCTCCAATTCTAATAAAAATGTTTAAGTCATGAGACTTGCCATCTGTAAAATGGTATAATAATGTCTACTTCATAGGGCTGTTAATGACATTTAAATGAGAATACAAACATCACAACTGGGAGAGGTGCTACTGGCATCTAGTGGGTAGAGATTAGGGATGCTACTAAACATCCTACAGGACAGGCCCCCAGAGCAAAGAATTATCTGGCCGCAAATGTCAACAGTGGCACTGCTGAGAAACTCTGATCTAGAGGAAGCTACATCATTAGGATTTGGGTACTTGGGGGGAAAATACAGTCTTATAAAATGTCAGAACTAGTTGAATAGGGAGTTCAGAGATTATCTAGTTCAATTCTGTCATATTACAGAAGAGGAAAATGAGGTCCAACAAGGTTAAAAGATTTAGCCCAGAGCCACAAAGTGATCCAGTAACAATCCTATTTATAACAAGGAGTTATAACAGAGTTAATGGGATATATATTAATTCATTTACCAAATATTTACTAAGTACATAGCAGTATGCACCAGGTATTTTCTTGATGCTACAGATACAACAGTAAACCAAACAGTAAAGAACAAAACAAACAGGAAAAAGAAAAACCAACCCTGCCCTCATAGAGCTTATTTTCTAGAGGGGAAAAACAATAAATAATTCATATAGACTATTTAATGATAATAAGTGGTATGAAGAAAAATAAAGCAAGGAAAGAGTACAGGAGATAGCGGGAAGTCACAATCTTAAAAGAGTGGTCAGGAAAGGGAGCACGTCGGCGGTAATATCCCAAGCAGAGGGAAAAAGAGGTTCAAAAGTCCTGCAGCCGAGTCGGCCTGGCAAATGAGCAGAGTGACTGAAGAGGAATGCAACAGGAGATGGAGTCAGAGAGGCAACAAGGGGACAGTTCACAGGAGGCCGTGCAGGCCACTGCAAGGCTACTGGGTCTTTCTCTGAATGAGACGGGAAGCCACTGGATTCTGTGCACAAGAGCGACATAAGTGATATTCATGTGAAAAACACCTGCAGCCCAGTTCCCGGTACTGAGTGCATTTCGGCTCCCTTAACCACCCAAGATTACATCAAAATGTGCTAAGATCTGTGCACCTCAAATGGCTAATTTAATATTTTACTGAAGTGGACACTATAACAGGGTACCTAGCCCCAGGAAAACGGGGGATGACAGAAAGGACAGAGGGAGGAAGAGCGCAGTCCTCTCAGCGATAACAGATAAATGGCTGAGGAATTTTCTATTAAGGGATTACTTTAGTGTATGTCTTCTTTTAATCTAAGTAACACCTTACATTTGTCAAATATTATTTTATATATGTAAGATGTTAAAAAAAATACACAGAATTATTTAAGGTCAAAGGAGTAAATTACCCTCAATGCAAATTAATTTGTCCACGGATTTTACAGGTAATTGTTTATACTATACAAAGATCACATCTTTTTGTTTGTTTTTATTAACTTCAAAACTAGCACCTCTATTAGCGTAAGCAATAAAGTCAACATTTCACAACAGGATATAATCTCTGGATATAACAATACCTGTCACGAAACTGTGTACTAAAAATTCAAGTGATAAAGTTGAGAAAACTCTATAGGTTGATATACTCTCTGATTTCAACAACAGTAATCTATTACATTCACGTAGACTTTTTAAATTTATACAATGCTTTTATGTGCATTATCTCATCTGGACCCCACAATACCCTATAAAAGACGTAGGAATTAGGACCCCTTTAAAGATGAGAAAACTAATGTTTAAGAAGATTAATAACTCGCCTCAATGAGCTCAGCAACTGTCAGTGCTCTTCCACTCTATCATAATCATCTCAAAAATGAGCTGCTTCCTAATACAAGGTAACACCCTGTAACCCCCAATACCTTCACAGTGTTGTGAATTTCAGAGGTCATTAGGTTTCTAGCTGCCACAATCACATCCTGACACTTCTTGTTAGCAAAATGAGAATTGATGTTACGGGCATATTTCAGCAAATCTGTAGTATTTCCTTTTAGAAACCTCATCTCCTTTAAGGCATTTTCAAATTCTTCAGTGGACTGTATGATCTGAGAAAGAAACGCAAGAGAAAAAAAAGTAAAAGAATCAAATACATATGTTCCTTTCCAATATTAAAATTTCAAATCCAATGTATAGGAAAGAACAAGGACCAGCTGGTCATTTAAGTTTTAGAAAAGACCATCAGTTACTAGGTATAAAAATATTATTCATTTTTTCTAGCCTTAAATTCATTAGGAAGAGCATCTTCATTAGAAGTTTTTGACTCTGCTTAGTAAAGGTGCAAACATTTTTAAATAAATAGACAGTAAGTCCCCCCTTATCCTCGGCTTCAGTTACCCACAGTCAACCATGGTCTGAAAATATTAAATGGAAAATTCTAGAAACAAACAATTCCTAAGTTTTAAACTGTGTGCTGTTCTGAGTAGCATGATGAAATATTGCGCCGTCCCGCTCTGTCTTGCCCAGGATAGGAATCATCCTTTTGTCCAGCATATCCATGCTATATACACTACCTGCCCATTAGTATAGGAAAAAACATAGGACATATGTGGTTCAGTACTATCCACAGGTTCAGGCCTTCGCTGGGGGAACTGGAACGTAGCCCCAGAGATAAAGGGGGACTGCTGTGCTTACTGTAGTGTTTGAGGAAACACTAAAAAGAAGCCAAAAAGTAAAGCGTCACATAGTAGCTACTATAGCTGACACCAATAGAAAAACAATTGTTTTTCAAAAGTATCTTACTAAAGAAAACATACTTAATAACGAAACATACTTCCCCACCCAATCAAAAGGTAGGAAGCCTGAAGAGACATGAAGTCAGAGGGAATTTGCCTCCACACTTCATGAATAATTTTCTTAAAGATGTCACTAAAGAACAAAAGATCTCCAAGGTAAACAAGTGACGCCAACAGGAACCTACGGTCTCTTCAAACCCTCTGTGACACCTCTGCTCTTACCTCCTCATACTGCTGTAACTTGCTGCTATTTGTTGGGATAGAATAAACCAAACAATTTTTAATGAGGCACTCGGACAAGTCCTCCCAGATCACGTCACCAAGCATCTCAGCCAATACGATCTTGCATGTTTTCTCATTTTCTACATCAGCAACAAGAGGCAAATCTGAATTCAAAAGAAAAAGTTTTAAACAAGAAACTCTTCACAGTCTGGACATATTCTCAAATTCCCTAGTTTTCTAGAATTCTTTAATTTTAAGATGACAGGGAAGAAAACAGCACGAATAATTCTATAGCTCTCTCAACAGACTACATGGGAAAAGCATGACACAATTATTATTTTATTTTCACTGCTCAAATGAATCATCTGCACTGTATGACTGCCTGTTCTCTATAACAATAAGGTATTAAGCCACCTACATTATAATCATCTACTGCTAATCTACAGATGTGATTATATGAAGCACTCAGAAGTTCTGCATACCACGTTGAAACTAGTTTAGAATAACAAGTTCTCCAATAATAAATATATTTCTTTCATCTCTGCAAAGGATCTGAGTGTTTATCCTAAGTAAAATATCAATAAACACCTTACATTATAGCATAATATCTAGCCTACCAAACACAATACTTCAGTGTCTCTTCCATGGTATATTTTAGGGTGGCTTTTTCTAACACATTTTGAGGGAGTTATATTCAGAACATACCATTAATTAACTAAACAATATATAAGAACCTTAAAAGAAAGTGACCATATTACCTCGGAGCCTTGAGATATCTTACAATATCTGAAGTCTAGGCCTGCACTGTCCGATATGATAGCAACCAGCCACATTTTGCTACTGAGCACTTGAAATGGGGCTGGTGTGACTGACGAACTCAATTTTTTTTCAATTTTAAGCAATTTCAAATTAAGTTTAAAAATGGAAGCAAGGGTGTGTGGTTATAATGGGTAGCACAAGGGAGCCTTGTGGTGATAGAACAGTTCTATATCTTGACTGTGGTGGTAGTTACATGAATCTACACATGTAACAAAATTGCACAGAACTATTCACACATACAAATGAGTGCAAGTAAAACTGGAGAAATCTGAATAAGCTCTGTGAATCATAACAAAGTCCATTTCCTGGTTCTGATACTATACTATGGTTACACAAGATGCTAACATTGGGGAAAACTGGGTGAAGAGTACATGGGACCTCTGTACGTTTTTTGAATTAAAATTTTAAACTAAAAAAAAAAAAAGAGGAAGTAGCGTAAAATACTTTTCTGTTAAACACAGTTTTGTTGCTTTGAAAAGACTATGCCTCACTTTAACCGTCACATCATATAAGCTATTATGTGTACTGTAGTGCTCACATCAGGCATGTGTATCACTTCTAGTATTTCTTATAAACACACCTTCGATGTAGTCAGTGTAAACAGATTCATTCCACTGGAATGACTTTGTTTTCCTATGCACCAGTGTAACATTGTAATACATTTATTTGAATATTTTTCACATACAGCACAGGTTACAGTGATACCTATAATAAACTGAAAACGGTAGTAAAATTGAAATGCTTATTATTTTCACTATGATATATTTTTCTAGCTTAAAAGAATGATTATAAACAAACTTTTAAATTTAAAACTAAGGTACACTATTGATGCAGAATCAAGTGAAGGTGCAGAAGCTAGAAGAACTGGCAGAACAGTAAAGGAAACTACAGACTGGAAGAAAATATGCCACAAATTTTACAATAAATGGCAGCTGCAGCTTGCTAAAACAGAGCAAAACAAAACTTTTCTTGCTGTGCAAAAAAATTTTTAAGATGATAAAGCAGACAATATTAAGAGAAATTTCAACAAATACATTAGGAATTTGTCAAGTTTCCTCTCAAAGAAGAATTGACAAAATTAGTCACCTGAAATCACAATTAAATGTCCAACCCAAAATCACAATTAAATGTGATTAATTAAAAAATCACAATTAAATGTCCAAGATTTTAAGGGGATCAGAGCTTGTAAATTTAGCTAGTGATAAAATGACTTGGTAAAATCATTCCATACATTTTGGTAGCAAATTTATGCTGGTTTTTAAAAAATTAATTAGGGCACTTATCCATCTTTTTCTATTGACCAAAAGAGCTTGATTATCAAAGGGATTATCTGTAATTTGAAGAGTACCTAGAATGTAGCCACAAACCGTACGTGCCTGATGGTGGCCTTTTTAGCGGAAAATCTTTAACCACCTTCCAAATTTCTTCTACAACTACTTGTATGTTCAGAGTCTCTATTTCTTGGTAAATTTTAGTAGTGTATACCTTCTAGAAAATCATTCATGGCAAAAGCAAAATATGCTTCTTGTGACAAAGTCAACACCACGGAAGTTTACAAAGAGAAAGCCTAATTTTCCCTCTCCATACCCACAAGCTTCTCTCTCTCTCTGTGTCCAAGTAACCAGAGTTAAGAGTTTGGTTTGTATTCTTCCTCCCTTACATTAATAATATACACACGCACACATGCATGCACGCACGCAGACACATGATATAGACTAAACTGTGTCCCCCACAATTCATATGTTGAAGCCCTAGTCCCCAGTGTGACTGTACTCGGAGACAGGGCTCGCCTTTAAATAGGTCATAACGGTGGAGCCCTAATCCACTATGACTAGTGTCCTTTTAAGAAAAGGAGAGACACCAGGGATAAGCAAGCAGAGAAGAAAGGCCATGTGAGGACAGTAAGAAGGCTGTCTGCAAGGCAAGGAGACAGGGCTCAGGAGAAACCAAACCTACTAACACCTTGATCTTGGACTTCCAGCCTCCAAAACTGTGAGAGAATAAATTTCTATTGTTTAAGCCACAGAGCCTGTGGAATTTTGTTATGGAAGCCCTAGCAAACTAATATAACATTCATATAAGGGGCTACTTCCTTTTTTATAAAATGGGTTTATGCTATAGATTTTACATGTAACTTTTTTATCCCTTAAAAATAGATTGTGGCCATCTCTGAGGTCACTATATCTAGCTCCACTTCATTTCTTTTCAATAGCTGCACCATTCTTCAAATGATGCACATTCCAGTATGCAAGTATATACAGTACTCATACATGCAAACATACACACTGTTGATATCACATAGTAAGGAATTAAAAAGTGGGACACCTGGGTCAAAGCGATGTATATTTTAGCATAACTATAGAGCTGCAGATTACTTTCTAAAAAACTCACTAAAGCGATGAAGGAGACTACCTTTGCATTTTCTTACCGAAAGTGTCTTACACAAATCTTTGAATTCTGTCAACCCTAGGGGTGAAAAGTTCTACTTTGATGGTGTGATTTCCATTCCACTATTAGGGAGATTAAGCAATACATATTTTTATGTTTATTAACAACTTGCACCTTTTCTTCCATAAACTGCCTATTCATATTTTTTACTCTTTTTCTGTTATTATGTTCTTTTTTTCTTTGTAAAAAAAATCTTTGTATTAGCTCCTTGTCTGCCAATGTACTGCAAATATTTTCTGCCAGTATAATATTATCTTTTGACTTTGTTTATGGCATTGTTTACCATACAGAATTTAACATTTATATGTAGTCAAATTTATCAATCATTTCCTTTATGCATTCTGAGCTTCCTGAGAATATTTAAGTCTTCTTGTAAATTTTCTTCTAACATTTTTATTGTTTTACCTTTTGCATATAGGGATTTAATTTATCTGGAATGTATCTCTGTATGAAGTACGAAGCAGGAATCTAACTTTGTCTTATTCCATATAGCCAATTTTGCTAGCACCATTTTTTAATAAACTATCTGTCTCACTAAACTGAAATACAACTTTGATCAAATGGTAAATTCTCATTTATTCTTGGCTCTACTTCTGGACGCTTTTTCATTCCACTGATCTTCGTATGTCAAGAACATAGTTTTAATTATAAAATTCTCCAACTAGTGTTTTGCAAATCTTTATTAGCAAGTCTCATATTTTTTGATGTAAGCTCTAGAGTAATTAATTTGTCAAGTAGGAAAAATGTATAACAAGAATCTGATTGGGAATGTTTTAAATTTATGCATTATTTTGGAATGAGCTGACAATTTTTTGAGACTGTCTTCTAATCCACGATAGCCTCCCCTTACTTTACGCCCTCAATAAGTTTTATGCTTTCCCTTACATGTATTCTTCCCATTCTTATTAAATTTATCTTTTAAGAATTTCATAGATTTTATTGCCATTATAAATAAGATATCTATTTTAATTTATAACTGATTGTTACTAGCTTGGAGAGAAACTGATTTCTATAGATTTATACTGTACCTAGACAACTTAGTAAATGTCTTACTAATTATTAAAGTTTTAGGAGCCTTTTGTTTTTTTAGGTATACAATTACATCATTTACAAGTAAAGATAAATACTTCTCCTTATTTTAATATTCATACTTATTTTCTCTTCTTTGCATCAGCCATAACCCCTAAAACAATGTTAACGAATATTAATAATAATGTGCATTCCTGACTTAAAACTGATTTTAATGGAAATAAAGTTTTTAATCCTTTAATAGATGCTTGTTGCTGGCTTTTTAGAAGCAATTAGCTTCAAAATTAATTACTTTAAAAAAAATCAATAAAGTATAACATAATTATGCAAAGTGGTCTATTATACAGTTGTATACTTTACTTCATCATTTCCCTATTCTTCAAGATTTCATGACTTTCCAGTATTTCAATATTATAAGTAACATTATGATGAACATCCTTATACATAAATGGTTTTATATATTTAAGATTATTTCTTCAAGGAAGACTCCTAGAACTTGAAACCTTGGTTTAAAGGATATAAACATTTTAAGGCTTTTTATATATTTTGCCAAAGTATTTCCAAAAGAATTTTTTTTCTCCTCTTTTAAAAGCTCCTTTGCTGCTGGTACAATGATGCTTAGTAATACAGAAAACTTGGGAGAAAAAAATACATATTTAAAAGATGAAAAGAGCATAAAACCAAAGACAAACATAAGACGAAAGGTAAAAATCTTTATGAAGTTTCAGAATAACTAAAATCCAAAGAAAGTAGAGGATTCCAAAAAGAACTAAGGCCACAAAATATGATCCTCAGGTTTTATTTAGGGCAAGAAGATGAAGGAAGGGAATACTGACTGAAAGATAGTAAAGAGATTAGAAGAGCACCTAGCAACAGTGAGTTGTCTTCTGCTCTGAATATCCTAGGTACTAAGAAAACTTACAAATAAAACACTAGGTTGAATACTTAAATGGACCAACGTCAAACTGGAAAGAGGTTTCTACTGGAATTCCCCAGAGCACCCTCTGATCTAGCCCTATCCTAGGTAATAGTACCATCACTGACTCAGATTAAACTGTAAGAAAACATGATTATCAATTATGCATTCGATATGAAATAGAAAGGATATTGTAAAATTTTATCAAGTAAAATTTAACAAAGATTAATGTTAATGCCAAAAAATCAAGTACAAGATGGGAAAGCAGCAGTTTGCACTGAGTATGACATAGGATTTTCACTGACATCAAGCTCAATAAGTTAACTGTGTAAAAATAGCTATACTATATAGCTATACTAACAGAAGCATGAAACTGAGAATGAGGGTGTGAACAATCCCCCCATACTATTCTGAATTGGTTCGGACTATACTTAGAATACTTTGTTCTGTTTTGAACACCCTACTTTAATAAAAGGACTATGGAAGAAATGGAATATATTCACAGAAGATCAGTGAAGATAAGAGGAACTTAAAAAACTATTTCATTAAAAAATAAAACTAAAGATGTTTTATATTGGTGATAAGATGTAGGCAACATAGTAACAGCTACTATAAAGAATCTGAAAGTCCATCATGTGTAATAAGAATTAGATTTCTATATAGCTCCACATACTAGAAACAGCATCAGTAAAGCAGATATTACAGGGCATATATTTTGAACATAGTTTTTAAACAACTACCCTAAAGATTTAGGTTCCAAAATGGTCATTTGGGCAATAGCATTTAAGAAAGAAGATACAATTTTTTTTAAAAACCAACAAACAAAAACTTCATAGTACTCAGAGTTGTCCAGAGGTGGGATGGAATGCCTCAAGAGGAAGTGAGTTCCCTCTCACTAGAAGTGCTCAAGTTTGTTATATGACTAATTGATGGGAGTGTTACAGAGGAGAGTCGAGCATCAGAGATATCTGTATTGCATCACCTTTCTAGTTCCTTCCAATCCTTGGGTACTTTGCTTACAACTCTTTTTTTATATCTAATAAAAATAAGGGTGTATTACCTCCCTAAGTAAAGGAATAAGAAGAAAACTACCTTGGATTTTTGTAATTTATGCAAGTCTTAGAATTTTTTATTCTCTGTTGTCAAAACTAGAAAGAATTCCTTGCTCTACATATAAATTATTTCTATATAAATAAAGAATGCCTGTATGTGTATAACCGAGTCACTTTGCTATACAGCAGAGATTGGCAAAACATTGTAAATCAACTGTACTTCAATTTAAAAAAAAATAAATTTATATATAAATAAAGTATGTTGACTGCCAGGAAGGCATACAAACAATAGCAGCATCTCTTTTTCATTTTCTCCACAGCAAGAATGCTTAATTTGACTATTCAATAAGACAACTGAGAAAAGCAAAAAGAAGGTAAGTCAAATAGACTAAAACCAACAGTATTATAACAAAACACCAGAAGAAATTTTACTTTTAGTAGTGTGACAGCCAAAAAATGATGCAAGCAACATAGAAACTATTTCAAGGGTGAATATATAAAGATCTAACCAGTAGGCCGAGATGGAATGAAATTCATGGCCTATGTTAAACCTATTTTGTTTATATCAACTAGGTTGAAGGGGATTTTCCCATCAAAAGATATAAAACAGCACTTAGTTCATTTCTGCTTCTCCTATAACTAAAGCAAGAGTCCCAAAATGTGATGTTCCTAGAAGTCCCATGAGGGAAATGCATCCCAAAATTCAACTAAATATTACAAACACAGACTCTAGGGCACCACTAAAGACCCTATTTGTCAACACAGGGCAGAGAAGGAATGCAAAATAGAGCAAGAAATAAAAAGGTAACTACTTTGTTCCCATGACATAATTTACTCACGTCTGATCCGCCATTCACTCAGATTGCTGACATTTTTATCCACTTTAAAATAAATATCGACTTCTCTAAAATATAAAAGCGCTGCCTTGGGGATACATACCTAGAAGTTGTTTCTGGACCACTTCCAGTACCAGTCTGATCTTGGCAAAAACTTCAGATGGTGATGGATGTTCCAAGTCAGTCATCACAGATTCAAAACGAATGATAATGATGTTAGGTTGGCTTTCTATCACAGCAAAAAGGGATGGGCAAGATGCCAGAGGCCTAAGGATATACTTCAGCAGCATCTGACCTGAAAGTTTTATGAACACTCATAAAAAATAAATCACGTCAAAAAAAAAAAGATCTTCGAGCCTGACAACAAAAATACATATACCATGACGTTACACAACACCCATTACGCACTGCAGGTTTTCCCACTGAAGTTTCCCAGATTGTCTACAGATTTTTATTTAAATTATTCAAAAAATCAAATAAAATAAATACCAGCAGCTACTTTAAAAAAGAAAAAAGGAAAGGATCTAAGCCCTTAATGAAAAGTGTAATATTTATACAATTCCACTTGATAAATCATGAGGCCAAACCCTATGATCCATCATCAATATTATTCAGAGAATACTGATCATTTTTCTGTCATTCCTTTAACAATGGACCTTCTGAAATTTCATGTAAATGAAACAAAGTATTATGCCTTACCAAATGACTTAAGCTTGGTATGTAGCTCCCCAAGAAGAGAAAATGCCAAGAGGACACAACTGATGGGTGGCACGGGGGTCTTCTCTTCTTTCTGAGATGGTTCAGCGCATAAATGAAGTTCTGTTTGTAGGCAAGATTCCAAGTTGCTGGTATCTAAGAAAAAGGGAAAAAATATCAGCTGTCTCAGCAATACAAGATGTTCCCATTTCTATCCCTGAGAGCCCACCGTCTACTAAGAGTCCTAAGTATGTGGTTTTACTACAATACACTTCTAATGCAATCAAATATGAATTACTACATACACGTCCTTGGCATCACTTTAAAACAGGAAATTACTTCCTTTGGTATGTTCAAAGAATCAAACTGAGTGCCAAAGTAAGATGATGTGCATACAATAACTGCTTACTAAATATGTGTTGAGAATGGATAAACAACAAGGTCCTACTGTATAGCATAGGGAACTATATTCAATATCCTGTGATAAACCATAATGGAACAGAATATAAAAAAGTACGTATTTATATTTATAACTGAATCACTTTGCTGTACAGCAGAAATTAACACAACATTGTAAATCAACCATACTTCAATTTAAAAAAAGAATGTGCTGAATGACAGAATGAAGGCAAAGAATAAAAAGTGAGATCCTAGTTTCAATTAAGGCCTCCTATTCTATGTTCCCTCTTATGAAGTAAAGAGAACAGCCTGCCAAACAAGTTTAACAGGGTGTGTTACAACACAGAATTAACACACCTGCCACCTCCTCTTAATTTTACAGTCTGCTTGGAAATAGAATCTAAAATTTTCTAGATGACTTCCTTGAAAATACCTAATACATACAGGGTGGGGTATGTGTGTGTGAGTGTGTGTATGTGTGTGTGCGCACGCATGCGTGTGTGTACACACATACATATACAATGTATTTGAAGGCCATAGTGGATATGGGAAAGGGAGCAAGGGGAGACTGTGAGGTTTCCCCTGAAACAGACTAAATTTCAAGATTAAATGCTGGAAAATATACCAGGTTTAATGGCATGTCCTTCCCATATACCCTCAGAGGTTTTACTTTGTGTAAACAAGATATCAAAGAGGGCTCACACCCAGAGGTGGGCAGAGGGGCTGAGAGCCAAGTAGTATAAATAAAAGCCAGGGCCAGAGTTATCCTATTTCTTCATCTTGCAAAGCATCCCCCATCTCATGATTTTGTCACCATTTTTCTCCAACAACTGAAAAAAACTGGGCCAAACTCCTATCCCTTTCCTTAGCAAGAGAGAAAGAATGGTTGAACAGCTTCTTTAAGCTTTCTAGAAAAGATAAACTGTTGGGATTAGAGCTTTGGGAACGGGCACATCTTACGATGCAGTGGAAACTGTGTGGTCTTAATGTGCTACCACCTCCTCTACCACAGCCGCGCCACCTGGACCCCTCCCAATCATCTTCTCTCTTCTCTGCTCCTTCCCAGTGAAAGGGACAGAAAGAGAAATGCATGGGAAGTAACAAGCATTTTGGTCCTAACAAGCATTCTGCTTAACATGAGAACTCAATATAGAATTGGGAGATTAATAAATGAAACCTTCCTCTCTCCCAACATAAAATATTTGGAATATATTCAGAGGCCAAACTGGTTCAGGCAGATTAAGCAAAGCAGTCCACCTGAGGTCAGCAGCACCTTTTGATGGCGGGAACTTCCATACAATCAGCTTCTGCCACTCTTCTCCAAGGTGATAAAGTATGTTCTGTTTCTGTATTGTAAGCTCCATGCTGAGAGATTTCAGTATTTTTAAATCAAAGCATTTTCTGGATTTTAATAACTTCAAGCATATCTGTGCCTGGTAGTGAAATGGAATCATTGTTAACATTTCATCTGGACTCTAGGCAATTAGAATATATTTGTATAATGATAAGGAATACATGCAACACAAAATTTACTGAAAACAAGAATAGTACTGGACTTCTCTGGTGGTACAGTGGTTAAGAATCCGCCTGCCAATGCAGGGTACATGGGTTCGAGCCCTGGTCCGGGAAGATGCCACATGCAGTGGAGCAACTAAGCCCGTGCGCTACAACTACTGAGCCTGTGCTCTAGAGCCCGCGTGCCACAACTACTGAAACCCGCGCACCTAGAGCCCGTGCTCCACAGCGAGGGAAGCCACTGCAATGAAAAGTAGGCCCCGCTCGCCACAACTAGAGAAAGCCCGCGCGCAGCAACAAAGACCCAATACAGCCAATAAATAAATTAATTAATTTTTTAAAAAAAGAATAGTACTAATTGCTCATGCTTTAGAGAAAGTGTTTAATACCTCTTCTAGACGCTGAGCAGCAGTAACATACTTCTTCTCTGCCAATGCACAATTATATTCCTCAATAGCAGTAGAAAACTGAAAAGATAAGTATAGTTATCAGGTATTTTATTTTATACGTCCTACTATTTCAAGTCTGTCTGCTTGTTTATTTTTAAACTATGAAAAAATACCACATAGGGGATACCCATTGAATGATAAGACAATTGGAAAAAAAAAATAACTTTCTCACCACCAAAACACTAAAGTTTGATTTGAGTATACTGACCTCGTGTAGCTGTCTAAGTAAACTTAGGACTACCGAGTCTCTTTCCAACTGTTGCTTCAAGTCTGTAAATTCAGCAGTTGATACGTGAAGATCCCGGCGGACCTAAGTCACACACCAAAGACAAGTACTTTTAAGCTATACTATACTTGAGAAATGAAACTTTTACTGTAATCAATAAGCTTTATTAGGTGACTATAATTCATGATGAAATTTAAATGCTGGTTAAGACTGGAATAAAAATCACAGAATGTAGTAGGAAGAGACTTTAAGTGATCCACTTAGCCCAAACCCTTATCCTATGCAGGAATACCCGTTCCCATCAACATAATATCCTCGTGTCACCATGTATTCTTAGTTTAAGCAGTTATCTTTCATCAAAGAACTCATCCACCTGGATTACTGGTATCCCCACTGCCAAGTGATAATTCATTCTTCAGCTGAATAGTTCTAACTAATAGAAAGATTTCTCTACATTGAGTGAGAATCCGCCTCCCATTCTGTCCCACCTTTTCAGGGACTTTGCACTATCAATTATTTCCTCTCTTCTCTATCTTTTACTTCTCCCTAAGTCATGCTCCATTCCAATTATGTGAATACCTATTAGAGCGTGGCTCCTCCCATCAGATTTAAATATGATTTAAAATCTCCCCCAACTCTATGAAAAAGTATCCTCCACCTTAGCAACCACCCTATTTCTCGGTAGCTACTTGATTTCTCTCCTCCCTCTCACAAACAAGCTTCTTGCAAGAGTGATCCATACTCGCTGTCTTTACTTTCTCACCTCTCATTCACTCTATAACTCACGTGATCTGGCTTCTACCCCCGCCATTCCACCAAAGCTGTTCCAAAGCAGTTGGTGCCAAAATACCAAGCAAATCCTTGCTGCTAAATCCAAAGCCTATGTCACCAGTATTACCTTGCATCAGTACACTGCTACTCACCTTCCCTTAGTCTATGACACCCATATCTACTCATTTTCCTCCTGCTTCTTTGGCCATTCCTTTTCATCTTCTTTTGGGAGAGAAATTTCCCCTCTGATCACTTCACACACGCTGATATTCCTTTCTCCCTGGCCCTCTCATTACTCTGAACCAACAGTTCTCAAAAAATAAACGTTTTTTTTACCCCACCCTAATCCAGGGTCGTTTGGCAATGTCTAGAGACATCTGGCGTGCCACGATCGAGGGCGCTCTACTAGCACCTAGTGAGTAGAGGCCAGGGTTAGTACTGAACACCTTCCAGGGTACCGGATAGGCCCCCACAGCAAAGAACGTCCGGCCCCAAATACCAGCTGTGCCTGTACTGAAAAGCCCTCCTCTCCACGCTCTCTCTGGGCAATCTCATTCATTCCCATAGCTTCAACTTCTAAGCGCAGCTACCTCATGTCCACACCATTTTCCTAACATCCAAATATGTATATGGATGGCGTGACATGCCAACTATCCTCTAAAATCCATTCTCCCACTCTCCCACAGTAACAGCGCAAGGCTACGCAGCTAGACTATATGTGCTAGTGCCCTGCACAGTCAGGTGTGACCATGTGTCTAAGATCCCACCAATGCAATATAAGCAGAAGTGATGTGTACCATTACTAAGTCTTAAGAAAACAGATGTGTCTCCTCTATTCCCTCTATTTGACCTTAACCTGCAGCTATAACTGGACATGGGGAGAGACCAACATCAACCATGCAAACAACAAAATCCTAGAGCAGTGTTTCTCAAACTATAACATACATACATACATATTGCTTGGTGAATCTTATTAAAGTGCAGATTCTGATTCAGTAGGTCTGGGATGGGGCCTGAGATCCTCCACGTCTAACAAGCCACCAGGTGTTGCCAATTCCGCTGCCTACAGACCGTTGGAAGACAATTCTTTAGGAGTCTCTCACATTTCTGCACTATCTTGCAAGTGAAGCAATTGACTGTCTTTTGTTCTGGACTATCTTTTCAAAAATGTTTGTGTAGTAAACAGCTTGAAAAACAGAGATGGCGTTTTCCTCCATAGCAAAAAGCCAGCATGCTCACTACCCGTTAGAAAAGGTTCAGGTTCCCTGAACAGAAGTTCTCTTCCATCCATACAGTCCACTGCACACCGCCCTGTAGAAACTGGGGCTTGCAGCACTGTGCAAAAACGTTCATCCTCTGGCTACCGCTGTGAGTAATAAACTGTCCTTCACAGTTCTTGACACAGACTACACTACAGTAGCCAGGCCCTAGGTTGTAGAATCAGCCTGCTAGCCTAGACACTACGATTGAAAAATATGTATCTTGTTTAAGCCACTGCATTTCAAGTTCCCGCCCGGCCCCCAGCTTTCTTTACAACAGTCTAGCCTCCATCTTCACACAATCCAACTGTGCAGCTCCATTTGTAGACCCCACAGGCACCCCATATTTAAACTCAACAAAAACCTACTCCTCCTCTAGATTGTTTCAGTGAATGACACATCAATGACCTAGTTCCCCAGTTATCTTTGACTCCGTAGTCTTTCACCCCCCATATCAACAACTGCCAGAGATTCTATATCTTTTCAAAGTCCCTAGGATTCGTCCACTTTTCTCCACCCCCACTGCCATTGACGATGGAGCACGTTGCATCCTGTCTTGCCCGATTACTTTAACTGCCTCCTAATGCTTTAAGTGCCTTCTCATTTCCCAGTCTCTTTTCCCTCAAGTCCTTTCTTCAGACTGCAAGCAGAATGGGATTCCTAAAACTCAAATCTGACATCACTCTCCTGCTTAAACTCTTCCATGGCTTCCACAGGGCAATCAAGATAACGTCCTTACTACTTAAACTGATACACACAGTCCTTGCTTACCTTTTTAATCTCATCTCATGTCTCCTCCCGCCACACTCTCTAAATATCTGTCATATGGAATACTTGCAGCTCTCCAAAAGTGACACCTCTCCACTACCTCCATGCCTCTACCATGCTGTCCCCTATGCCTGCCTAAACATTCCTCCTTCATCTTTTGCTTAATTACCTGCCACTTCAGATTCTGGTTTGGACACTACTTCCTACAGAAAGCCATCCTTAGCTATATCTGCTCTCTTTAACTGGATTATTCCAATTTTAGTGTATATCACACTATTTTATTCATCTATAACAGGCATAAGATTCACATTTTGAAATAAAACACTGTCTAGTTCACCAACTACCACAGTATCTGGCACCTTGCAGATGCTCAATAAATATATCAAATATATATATAAACAAATATATATATAAACTCAATAAACACCTTTATAACGTCCACCTATTGAATCTAATTCCCCTTCTCTAGCCATAAATTTGAATCTTTCTCCCATACGAAAATACTGGGCTGCAAATATTGGACATGTTTTTCATTGAAGCTAAACACCCTGAGTTTCCTCATTGTTCTTCAGATGGTACAGTGTTCAGGCCTGGACCCTCTCATCGAGACCAGTCACTTTCAAAACGTAACAACCAGAACTGAATAAATTTCACCAGCCATAATCTGGCCAGCAAAACGTACAAAGAGCCCATTACTCTCTGGTTCCAGACACTTCATTTCTAACAGCACAGTCTAAGATTGCACTGTTGACTCATTTGTCTGACAATACACTTTGAAAATATTATTTGAACTGTGCCAGAGTTGTAGAGTAATGGATTTATTTTTATTCAAACCTCTAACCAGAATGACTGGTAAACTCACTGTTAAATAGATTTTCTAGGTAGCTAGTCGTTTCCCCACTTGTGATTCAAGTTTTTATAGAGAATTTTTTAAAATACATCTGTTCTCTTTCCTTCTTTGGTAACTATCACATAGAGAAGAGACTTGGTGTCTTTCCTTTAGGACCTTGAGAATACCTCAACATCCTGATTTTGGATATCAATACACCCTGACTGATAATTTAGAAATTGAGGTACAAGACACCTACTTTATTTAAATCTCTAATATCAGCTTGATTTTTTTCAACTGCTTTTTTTTCCTAAAAGGAAACAGCAAGGGAAAAATCCTAGTGAGATAATATATGTGAAAAATATTTTTTAAATTATTAAATATTTTTAAATTTAAAATGGATATTCCTGTTTCCAGACAGGCTTACTTCTTTGCGATGACAGCGCTCTGGCAAACGTGATGAACATTCTTAAAACCTGCCAGACTTTCCATAAGAAGTATAGCAAGCACTAGCCCCACAAAGTGACACAGTACAAGACGGGCAGGGATTTTCTGCATGTCCAGGGAAAGTGGCTTTATGACAGGAAGTAGAGTGGTTGTGATTGGCGATCTGAGCCAATTTTCCAGAAGAAGGCCGGAAGAAAAGATTGTGCTGCAGCTTTAATATGCTGAGGCCAGCTGCAGATATAAGAGAATGCTGGCCATTAAGAGAGATAAGCATTTTAAAGTAGGAGATAAGGGAAAAGGCCAAATTATACACTTCTATGCTTCATCTGTTTTCGTTTTATTATGAAGACAATAAAATCCTGAGATTATTTTTTAATTTATAAAGTGCTATTAAAATGTAAGACATTATTATTATAGCTTAAAATGTTTTTTTTACCATAAAAAAGAAATTGTTTAAAGTATAGTTTTGGAAAATATTTGTGTTTTAAAACCGGACGTTACCCTAAAATCATCTAATTCAACTTCCATTTACCAATAAGGAAAGCGAGGTCTTTAAAAGTTGTATAAAACTGAATTGTCTTAGAAATCAGGAAGTTGAACTGCCTCCCTACAAACCTACCCTAATAACAAACTATTCTTACCTCACTCTCTATCCTGGATTTCAGCAGGTCAATGTCATCAGATAGCTTATCCACTTGGGTAACCAGGTCCTGTGCACTTTGCATGCTAGGCAGGAATTCACTGTACTTCTTGCTGATCATACTGCATACCTCGCCCTATTATATAGGATGGAAAAATTACAATGAGATGAGTAGGGAACTCTGTTAAAATACATAGCTCATCTTCTATTAGGTATCTTCCAAGTTAGGGCCTTCTTGCCAGTTACCCACACCCATTCGCTTTCCCTCCAAGCCAACGGGTTTCCTCAAAAAGCACATTTCTCCCACCGTTAAGAGTCCCATAACACGACTAGGGTACAAGAAGGCAATGATCACCAAATGCCAACAGTGCCCAAGAGTTGTACAAACACTGAAAAAGAGAAACGAAGAGACAAAAATTCTCATTTTGAACTATTATCAGCTCAGACTATAGCCACTAATTTTAATCACACCTAATAGAAAAAAAAGTAAATGGATAAATTAAACCCATAATCTGTATACCTCAATGGATTTATGAATTTCTATTCTCTTGCTTATAAAATTGTAAGGCCTAATCTTAAAACCCTAAATTTTCTTTTAAGATTTTTTTTGATATGGACCATTTTTAAAGTCTTTATTGAATTTGTTACAATACTGCTTCTGTTTTATATTTTGGTATTTTGGCTGCGAGGCATGTGGGATCTTGGCTCCCCAACCAGGGATTGAACCCGCACCCTCTGCATTGGAAGGCGAAGTCTCAACCACTGGACCGCCATGGAAGTCCCTTAAAAGCCTAAACTGATTTGAGTTCCATTATCTCCTTTAATGCAAACAAATTATTGAATACTTTGCACTGAATTAGTCAATGCTTTGAAAGACACATGAATAAATTATGCTTGCACACAAATAAATTCCTTTTAGGTAGGAAAGACAGTATGCACTTAAGTATTCAGAATACAGAATAGAGAAATGTAATATAGCAACAGAGTTAATGTCCTCCAGGAGCACAACTGGGAAACAGAGCACCTCTGCCTGAGGGAAAATGGGGATATTTTTCATGCAGGGAACTATATCTGAGATGGAACTTGAAAAATGAGTAGAAATACTAATAGGTTAAAGATGGAGAAACGGCAACATAAGTAAAATCTGGGAACTAGGAAAAAAGTGGGCCTGTTTGGAGTATAAAAAGTAATTCTCAACTGTCTGAAGATTCAAGTCAGGGAAAATAAACTAGCGAAAGGAAAGTTAGGTCCAGAACAGGGAGGAGCCTTGAGTGCCATGTTAAAGTAGCTTAATAGCCTGCCCTCTTTCCATCATATAAAAAGTGATGGGGCTTCCCTGGTGGCACAGTGGTTGAGAGTCCGCCTGCCGATGCAGGGGACACGGGTTCATGTCCCGGTCCGGGAAGATCCCACATGCCGCGGAGTGGCTGGGCCCGTGAGCCATGGCCGCTGGGCCTGCGCGTTCCGAGCCTGTGCTCCGCAACGGGAGAGGCCACAACAGTGAGAGGCCCGCGTACCAAAAACATAAAAATTAAAAAGTGATGAAAAATCCTAAAGCCATATTAAAGAAGAGATGCCAGTGACATGAATACTTAACATTTAGGAAATCATTTTGGTAAAATAAAAACATTTTTGTGCCTTTATGGTACAGTGCCAAAATGGCTCCCTTAAATCCAGACCTACACGGTACATATCTTTTTATTTTATTTTTTTAACATCTTTATTGTAGTATAATTGCTTTACAATAACAAAATGACTCAGTTATATATATACATATGTTCCCATATCTCTTCCCTCTTGCATCTCCCTCCCTCCCACCCTCCCTATCCCACCTCTCTAGGTGGTCACAAAGCACTGAGCCGATCTCCCAGTGCTATTCGGCTGCTTCCCACTAGCTATCGATTTTACGTTTGGTAGTGTATATATGTCCATGCCACTCTCTCACTTTGTCCCAGCTAACCCTTCCCCCTCCCCGTGTCCTCAAGTCCATTCTCTACATCTGTGTCTATTCCTGTCCTGCCCCTAAGTTTGTGAGACCCATTTTTTTTTTTTTAGATTCCATATATATGTGCACATCTTTTTAAATGAAAGCAACAAAGATGTGGGCAAATACAAATGTAGGTAAAGATAGCAGTACAAAGTGGAACTGCGTGTGGTTTGTGCCTTTTGTTTTTGTATCAATCTCAAGACAGCAGGGTCCAAAGAAGTGCTATTCACGTGTTTTATAACATCGTAGTCTCAAGGGCCTGGAGGTGGAGAAGAGAGTTTAATAAAATATCGATAGGTTTTAATAAGAAAAATTTCAGGGATGGAGGAGAACGGCACAATCCTCCCAAAGCCATTATATTCATCCACAAATCGGACAGAGGAGGAAATCACACACCGATGAGGGGTGGGCGGGATTGCCCTCATTTCTATCCCGCTCCTATTCTCCCTCCCTAGAAACCTCGTGCTTCCAGTCCCACTTCCCCTGCTCTGCTTGTCTCCTCGGCCTTCTACCTCGACCCCCCAATCCCTCCCCAGCCTAACCCCACTCCCAACGCTGCCCCAGTCACCGCCTCTTCCTCTCCACTGTCCCGCCTCCTTTCCTCCGCAGTCCCCAACCCCGGTCTGGGCTTCCCTCTAAGCCCCCTCCTCGGCCCACATACCTCCCAGCCCTCCCACTCCTCATTCCTCCCACTCGGCTTCCACGCCTGACCGCTGGCATCCACTCTGGCTGCCATGGCTCTACTCCTCCCTCCGTCCCTTTATAGCCAGCCGCCAGCTGCCCCGGCTTCACCTTAATCTCCTCCACCCGCTGGGTCAGGCGGCTGATCCGAGTGCACAGATCCTCCTTTTCCAGCCTCCCCGAGTGTGCCAGGACTTCCGTCACGAACGAGGCCATCGCTACCACAAGAAGCAACCCGGGCAGAGTCACTCTCTTGTAGCCAGCGCGGCAGCTCCAGTCCCGCCGGAGGCCTTGGCGCGCGGCCTGCCGGGAAACGGAGTCTCGCGGGGCCCAGACCTCCGCACGAAAAGCGAGGCTCGTACTACAACTCCCAGTAGGCACCGCGGCTATCCTAGCGTGGACTTTTCACGGTGTCCCGTAGTTGGCAAACTGTGCGGAGACGCGTTTTCTCCTTGCTCATTTTCAAATAGCTTGCCTTTTCCCGCCGGGTTTTCACTAGAAGAAAATGTTTTTATTTAATAACCAGTCACAACTGAATTTTTCTCAGCTTCAAAACGCTTACCTGTGAAATTTATCTAGCCTTGAAGACCTAACGAGCCCATCTTGATCTTTTTTCGTTAAATATTCATTCTCATGGGCCTCAGTGGCCATCAGAGTTTATGTGAATGGTGCCCTCTGCAGTTGTGCAAGGAAGTGGAATCACCTCATTATAAATAAAAGTATGCTCATAATTGCACTCCTTTTATATATAGTATATATATATACATATATAACATCTATTAAATATATTATAAGTTTATATTATTTATATTACCTAGGTATAAATAACATTAGTACTGTATGGACTGGAACATGATACTTAGCACTTTCTATCAGCGATTACAAATCAATTTTATCAAAACTTTAAAAAAATTGTTTCATTATTTAAATGTGTTACATACATACTATAAGATATATGTATGTATGTATACATATATGCATATAAATGCGTTACATACTAAAAGATTTTCACAATATACTATGTACAGTATTAAAAAATAAGTAGATATAGATACATATATAGAGGTAAAGGTAAAGGAAGTACACCAATTTAACTCTCTTAGGGGTGAATTTATGGTATTTATTCTCTTCTTTTCCCTGTTTTTTTCTATTTTTCTACAATAAACATGTACTGCCTTGATTAAAATGCTTTTTAAAATTTTTTTAAAGGTACCTTGTGACGGTGGACCCCCAAGTAGATGCTGACACTAAGGTCCCTGTCAATTTTAAGTGCCTGTGGAACAATCTGCTTATCCTAGTGATGCAGGGGCAGCTTCCTGTGACATGAGCAAAGGGGGTTGAGACGGGAAGCCATAACATCTTGGGAATCGCCTCTCCCTAGAAAACCAACCAAACTTCTGTTTGGTAGACCTGTCAGCCTCTCTTTGAATTCTAAATGCTACTACTAATAAATGCCCAGTGAGAAAGAAGGATGTGCAAATGAAATTCCTGAAAATTTGTATCACATATTTATTGAGCAACTATTATATGATGGACACTGTGCTAGGCTGGGAATCCAAAATATGTGAATAAATAATCTCAGGAAAATATGATCATTACTATCTTTGAGGTAGATGAGGGATTGATCCAGATGTGGTAGGGCCTAAATTTTATATACTTGCCAGGAGGCGGAGGACTCTTTAAGGAAAAAAATATAAAATAACAAATACAAAATTAAGTGCAGGCCTTGGAAGGAGTCTGTGCAAGTAACAGGCCTGGAAGCTTAATCCACCTCTAAGGAGGTACAAAGGGCAGAGGAAATATTGGGGGAGGAGCACCCAGTCACTGATTGAATCAGGGAGGTTCCACAGTAATAAGTAATCTGAACTAAGAATGGAAGGAGGTGTCAGGTTGAGGTTCTGGAATCTTCCTCCAGGAAATTAAGCCATGAATACCCACAAACACAACTGCAGAAGCTCCACCTCTCCCTGAGCACTGGATAAGCTAAGGACTATCCCTCAAGTTTCCAGGAAGAGACAGGGGAGAGCCAGACTTAGGAAGGAGAGAAAAAAGAGCATAGGGAATGGAGTAGGATTGCTACACACAGACAGACAATGCATGCAGGCATGAATGAACACTTGAGTAAATAAAAAGAAATGAACAGCTCTTGGATTAGAAGAATTAATATGGTTAAAATGGCCATACTATCCAAAGCAATCTACAGATTTAATGAGATCACTATCCAATTACCCACAAAATTTTTCACAGAACTAGAACAAATAATGCTAAAGTTTATATGGAACCACAAAAGGCCCAGAATTGCCAAAGCAATCCTGAGGAAAAAGAACAAAGCTGGAGGCCCAACCCTCCCAGACTTCAGACAATACTACAAAGCTAAGGTAATCAAAACAGCATGGTTCTGGCACAGAAAGAGACATATGGATCAATGGAACAGAATAGAGAGCCTAGAAATAAACCCACTCACCTATACAGTCAACTAATCTTTTACAAAGAAGGCAGGAATATACAATGGAGAAAAAAAGTCTCTTCAGCAAGTGGTATTGGGAAAGCTGGACAGCCACATGTAAATCAATGCAGTGAGAACACTCCCTCATACCATACAAAAAATAAACTCAAAATGGCTTAAAGACTTAAATATGAGACATGATGCTATAAAACTCACAGAAGAGAACATAGGCAAAACATTCTCTGACATAAATCATAGCAATATTTTCTTAGGTCAGTCTCCCAAGGCAGCAGAAATAAAAGCAAAAAGAAACAAATGGGACCTAATCAAACTTACAAGTTTTTGCACAGCAAAGTAAACCGTAAACAAAATGAAAAGACAACCTACAGACTCAGAGAAAGTATTTGCAAACAGTGCAACCAACAAGGGCTTAATTTCCAAAGTACACAAAGAGCTCATACAACTCAACAACAAAAACAAAAAAACCCAATCAAAAAATGGGCAGAAGACCTAAATAGACATTTCTCCAAAGAAAACATACAGATGGCCAAAAAGCACATCAAAAGATGTTCAGCAACGCTAATTATTAGAGAAATGCAAATCAAAACTACAATGAGGTGTCACCTCACACTGGTCAGAATGACCATCAACAAAAAGTCTACAAATAACAAATGTTGGAGAGGATGTGGAGAAAAGGGAACCCTCCTTTACATTGGTGGGAATGTAAATTGGTGCAGCCACTATGGAGAACAGTATGGAGGTTCCTTAAAAAACTAAAACTAGAGTTACCATATGATCCAGCAATCCCACTCCTAGGCATATATCTGGAGAAAACACTAATATACGAAAAGATATATGCACTCCAATGTTCGCAGCAGCACTATTTACAATAGTCAAGACATAGAAGCAACCTAAATGCCCACTGACAGATGAACGGATAAAGAAGATGTGAGATAGATAGATAGATATATATATATATATATATATATATATATATACACACACACACACACACACACAGTGGGATTAAAAAGCCATAAAAAGGAATGAAATAATGCCTTTTGCAGCAACATGGATGGACCTAGAGATTATCATACTGAGTGAAGTAAGTCAGACAGAGAAAGACAAATATCATATGATATCAATTATATGTGGAATCTAAAAAAATGTTACAAATGAACTTATTTACAAGAGAGAAACAAACTCACAGAGATAGAAAACAAACTTATGGTTACCAAAGGGGAAAGCTATGGAGGGAAAAATTAGGAGTTTGGGTTTAGCAGATACAAACTGTGTATAAAACAGATAAACAACAAGGACCTACTGTATAGGACAGGGAACTATATTCAATATCTTGTAATAAACTATAATGGAAAAGAATTAATATATATATATATATAGGTAGATATAAACCTGAATCACTTTGCTGTACACCAGAAACTAACACATTGTAAATCAAGTATACTTCAATAAAAAATAAATTAAAATTTAAAAAAAGAAATTAACAAATGAGTGGGTTCTGTTTTCCCTCACTAATCTGACCTCCTTCATATTTCACGCTTATCGTGGTTTGTATCTCTCCTGACTCACAGATTTTCATAAATTACCAAGAAAGGGCTCTGAAGAAAAGTCGAAGAAATAAGGAACAATGTCTGAAAGGATTCCTCCTGACCACATGTCTCACACACATGTGGCATGCCTGGATTCAGGAAGCTAAGTAACAGACACAAATCTGGATGGATATAGTACAAGCAGACACTTTCCAGAGATGCATAATATTTTGTCATCGTTTTGATTAGAACATGCGCTTGTTATAAAAGCAGCAGAAGGAGCCTACAGTTTAAAAGAGCATCCCATTTGCTTCAAGATAGGATTACGGGAGGGAGGGGGAGTGGTGGATGCAGGTATGGGTGAAAACAGATTGGTATGAGTGGATAATTTCTGAAGCTGGGTGATAGTACATCAGATTTCTTTATACCATTTGCTCTACTTTCGTATGTGTTTGAAATTTTCTATAATAAAACATGAAAGAAAAAAGGCATTCCAGAAGTTTCTGCTCACCTCCTTCCACCCCTTCAAGACTGATAAGCTAATCAGGCCGCTTAGTTGTTGAGACGTCATTCGGGTAAAGTCAAGATACTGCTTTTTCAGACGCTTCCTCCTTGCTGACTATCCCATGTCCCTTTTTCACATCGTAGTGTACCACAGGGCAATCAGTAGGTTAAAATATGTACAGGAGAATACATCGGTCAACATCTATGTCTTCAATATAATAAATCTCAATTTTCTTCCATATTTTGCCATAAAGAGGAGCCCATGCCTGCATGCTGTGTCACCAGTGGGCAGGCGCAGCGCAGGAGGCATCTCTGTTCTGGTGCTGGAGACAAGAATAGGAAATGTCACAGTCCGAGCCTCCTGGCTCAGGAGTTGGATCTATTGCTTGCCAGCTGGTGCACCTTGGCAAGTTACCTAACATGTATCTCACAGTGGTGGTGTGAAAATTAAATAAGGATAAAGAATCTAGCCAATTTACATTCCCACCAACAGTGCAAGAGTGTTCCCTTTTCTCCACACCCTCTCCAGCATTTATTGTTTCTATATTTTTTGATGATGGCCATTCTGACCGGTGTGAGATGATATCTCATTGTAGTTTTGATTTGCATTTCCCTAATGATTAATGATGTTGAGCATCCTTTCATGTGTTTGTTGGCAATCTGTAGATCTTCTTTGGAGAAATGTCTGTTTGGGTCTTCTGCCCATTTTTGGATTGGGTTGTTTGTTTTTTTGCTATTGAGCTGCATGAGCTGCTTATAAATGGAGAACAGTATGGAGGTTCCTTAAAAAACTAAAAGTAGAATTACCATACGACCCAGCAATCCCACTACTGGGCACATACCCTGAGAAAACCATAATTCAAAAAGAGTCATTACCACAATGTTCACTGCAGCTCTATTTACAATAGCCAGGACATGGAAGCAACCTAAGTGTCCATCAACAGATGAATGGATAAAGAAGATGTGGCACGTATATACAATGGAATATTACTCAGCCATAAAAAGAAACGAAATTGAGTTATTTGTAGTGAGGTGGACGGACCTAGAGTCTGTCATACAGAGTGAAGTCAGTCAGAAAGAGAAAAACAAATACGGTATGCTAACACATATATATGGAATCTAAGAAAGAAAAAAAAAGGTCACGAAGAACCTAGGGGTAAGGTGGAAATAAAGACATAGACCTACTAGAGAATGGACTTGAGGATATGGGGAGGGGGAAGGATAAGCTGTGACAAGGTGAGAGAGTGGCATGGACATATATACACTACCAAACGTAAAATAGATAGCTAGTGGGAAGCAGCCGCATAGCACAGGGAGATCAGCTCAGTGCTTTGCGACCATCTAGAGGGGTGGGATAGGGAGGGTGGAAGGGAGAGAGACACAAGAGGGAAGAGATATGGGAACATATGTATATGTATAACTGATTCACTTTGTTATAAAGCAGAAATTAACACACCATTGTAAAGCAATTATACTCCAATAAAGATGTTAAAAAAAAAAAAAAAGAATCTGGCCAAAAGTCTGGTATTTAGCCTCACTCAGTAAATGCAAATTATTGCCTTTCCTGTCTGAACCTGCCTCTTGGCAGCAGCAACAAATAGGAATGGAAGCTGGTGTGACTACCATCTATTTATAGCTGTTGTCCCAGCAGCAGCAGGGGACTGGGGAGGAAGGGCTTTCCCTCCTGGTATATTCTGGGTCTGGATAGGTTCCTTGGATTTGGGAATTTTTTTCTTCTGTTTACAAAAATACTAAATGATAAATTTGTAAAAATGTATAAAATACATAGACAAGCACAAGACAAAAACAAAAGAAAATAAGAACTATCCATAATCCTTCCAGTAAAATAACCATGGTTAACATTTTGTGGTATATGATACATACACACACATAGATACAGATATATGCGCTTTTTTGTGAAAGTGAAACTGCATTCTATATACTCTATATACTGTTTGGTCACTGCTTTTCTCACTTAACAACGTATCAATAGCATTTTTTTTTTTTTTTTTTTTTTTTTGCCATACGTGGGCCTGTCACCGCCGTGGCCTCTCCCGTTGCGGAGCACAGGCTCCGGACGCGCAGGCTCAGCGGCCATGGCTCACAGGCCCAGCCGCTCCGCGGCATGTGGGCTCTTCCCGGACCGGGGCACGAACCCGTGTCCCCTGCATCGGCAGGCGGACTCTCAACCACTGCGCCACCAGGGAAGCCTCAAAAGCATTTTTCATGTCATTAAAATTTCTTCTACATCAATTTAAAACAGCTGCCTAAATTGTACATAATAATATACAATTATTAACACTAGTTCAGTGGATATTTTCATAAATATTGGTATATATTCACAGTAAATTAAGGTAAGTTCTTGGACGTAGGGTGCTGGGTCAAAGTATGCAGATATTTAAAAGTGTAAAACATGAAGTCATGTTACCCTCCAGAAAGATTACATCAATGTATATTCCCAGAACATCATTCTCATCTTCTCGGAACTGGGGAGTGATTTAAGTGTATGAATTCACTCATCAAATATGTATTGATGGCTTACTGTCTGGCTTTTTTGCCTCTCATGGGACCCTCCCCCAGAATCCACACCCACATCCAATCTTGGGTACACCCTCTAAACCCAAAGTTTGCCAAGTTCCTGGCACCTGCCTCAGCTGCTGAGTGGACTCCACTCAGCTCCCCAGAAGTCCTGCCTGCTGACCAGTCACCAAGCCGCCTGTCCTCCTTTTCTTTCTGCCTTTCCTTTGTGGTGGGAGCAACCATGGCCTGGAGTTTCCGTGGGAAAGCCCAGCTTGGGGGACTGCTCCTCTCTCTGCTTGGCTGGGTCTGTTCATGTGTCACCACCATCCTGCCCCAATGGAAAACTCTCAGTCTGGAGCTGAACGAAATGGAGACCTGCATCATAGGACTTTGGGAGGTCTGCATAGATCAGGAGGAAGTTGCCACTGTGTGTAAGGCCTTTGAGTCCTTCTCGTCTCTGCCCCTGGAGCTCCAGGCATCCCGCATCCTCATGGTAGCCTCCCGTGGGCTGGGACTACTGGGGCTTCTGCTCTCTGGTTTTGGGGCCCAATGCTTCCAGTTTCAAGGATCAGATGGGTATTCCAGAGGTGGCTTTGCCTCCTGGGAGGGACTTTGGAGGCATCAGCTTTGGCCACTCCCCTCTTTCCAGTCTCCTGGGCGGCCTGCGCCACAATCCAAGACTTCTGGGATGACAGCGTCCCTGAGATTGTGCCTTGGTGGGAGTTTGGAGATGCCCTCTAGCTGGGCTGGGCTGCTGGTGTTTTCCTGGCCCTTGGTGGGTTACTCCTTATCTCCTCGGCCTGCCTGGGAAAAGAAGATGTGCCCTCTGTGCAGATGGCTGTCCCTACAGCAGCCCCACCATCCTGTGCTCCAGCGGAGAAGTTCGATCGCTCGTTCCACCTAATGCCAAGACCTAGGATCCTGTTCATCTAGGACAAGCTTTGCCAAGAAATCTATGGAACAGAGGAATGTCAGGAGAATCCTCTCTCTTCCTTAACCTCCATCACTCTATATTTGCTTGCCTCATTTTAGAGGTGGTAGTCACTGTCTCATTTGTTCAAGAATCTGACTATCTTGGTGATATGGTGATCCTAATTTCAGAATGAAAAATCAAGGCACAGTTTCTAAAGACAAGTTTATCTGATTTAGATTTTATTTACATAAAATACTTTTAAACTCATAACATTAATTATATACTTGATTCTTTTATTACTAGGGAAAACATATTACAAAATAGCGTTCAACCTAGAAAACCTAGTCTACTGGATATGAAGACAGAAAAGCTAAAGATATGCCTTTGCAAATGAAAATGAATTATTGGTGATATTATGTCACCTCAGGACAGGGACCCTCCTTGGGTTCATTTTCAGTCTCGGGTGCATGATTTGAAAGGGAGCTTCACAATACATCAGTCCTTGTGGCTGTACCCAAGGACTGCCCAATGTGGGCGTACATGTGGAGAGAATTATCAGCTACTCGGAAATGTCTTTTACCATATGCAAAATCACATTATAAATCCCTTAAATTTTAACCCAAATGTCAGCAGAACTACCTAGGCTGTGGCAACCAGTAAAGTCCCTTTCACAACAATGACCCAAGTTCCTTTGCTTCCTGACCGCCTGGGCCAGGTCTTCCTCAGGCATTTCTGCAAGTCCTCAAGGAGGAGCCTCCCGCTTGCTCAAAAACCTGCTCATCAGCTGAAACTACCCTGCGTGTCCACCCTGATCCTCTGGCTACCATCTGCCTCCCACTGCCTTAATCAGTTGAGAGTCACTGACCCCGTCGACAATTCCCACAGGAGAACAACTAAGGGTGATGGTTCCCAGTGTCCCCAGATATGTCCCTTTTCCAAGTTCAGAGGCACCTTTTGCTCACAGGACTGAGGAGCTCCCTCCCTCCACACGCTGGTACTGTGCTTTGCCTTGAGGCTGTACTGCTTGTGCTCAGATGCCTCTCCTTCTCAATTAAATAACATTGGCATAGCCCTGGCACCTTGAGGTAGCCACCACAGAATGTGCACGCACCAACACAAGAATAAACAAGTTTGCCGGCACGGCCCAGACCAGTTCCCTTCTTTTTTTTTTCCTGAGGAAATGAGTCTGCTCAGGTGCAACTTCGTCTTCAGCACCTGACTCAGTTACCTTCTCACCCAGAATAGCATCCTCTAGGAGTCACAGTTTCTCCAGAAAGCTCCTTTCCCAGTATGTCCTTTTGTATATGTCCACTTGACATACACAAATCCAAATGACTCTTAGGTAAATAAATTTTTGAGTATAAAAGAGCAGTTTGCATCAAATTTGTATTCCGGCCTTCTCTGGTTCCAATGCCCATTTTATCAACTACCCCTTCTTGATTATGTTTCAAGGATCTTTAGGCCAAGTTTCATTCAGGGGTGAAGCTCAAATATCCAAGAGTGATCCTTGGATTCCGTAGGATCTACAAGAAGGACTCATTTTGTTATTCATCCATCTGGCCGTTTATTCACTCTTTGAACAAATATTTATTGAGCACCTACCATGTGCTAGGCATTGTGCTAGCAACCAGGAATAAAACGGTAGGACAAAATGTATCCCTGCCCCTCATATAGGCAATTAGGGGAGACAAATATTAATGGGAAATCACATCAATGCAAATTGTAGTTGTGACAAACTTTACAAATCCTGAAAGCTACATGATTCTATAAGATCATGCAATAGGAACAATTTAACCTAGTCAGGTTAAATGAGCGGGTACCCTAAGGAAATGATAACTGCCTACAGGCTAAAGGATGGATAGCAACTCTAGGTAGAGAGAGAAAAAAGTAAAAGACAAGGCTGGTGAAGTAGGAAGGAGCATGTTGTCTCCGTTCTCAGAACCAAGGGAAGCCAAGCATGAGGCCAGGAACAGGAGGTCAGCTGACCGAAACAGTAGCCTGCTCCACCTTTCCTAACACCTTGTCCCTGGGCCATGTCCCTACCACACAGTTGTGTAGGGTTTAAGAGATGACAACGCACTTTCACATATCTTGTGTTTTATTTACTGTTATATTGAGGTTTTTTTTTTTTTTTTTGAGATTGGGAGAACAGATATTATTTGTTTTGCTAATGAGAAAATGAAGAATTTAGGCAACATGCCCACGGTGAGTAATTAGCTGGATGAGACTTGAATCCAAGGCTTGGACGCCATGGCAGGCTTTTGTCACCCACCCCATCCTGTTGCTTCATGGGGATGGGTGACTGAGACAATCTACCAGACCAAAGGAAAAACTAGCACCCAAGCAGAAGAAAAAACCAAAGACCTAAAAGAAAAATCTTGTGCTCCGTGCGTTTGTTGAGGTCTAAACAGGATCTTTGTTGCCAGGTGGCTCACCTGGTCCTGCTGGTGACCTGCAGCCCTCATCCTAATCCCACGTGTGCAGGTGCTGATGGCATTTTTCATCAGCATGTCATTATGGCTTCCTCTGCAAGGAAACTGGACACAAACTAAAGATTTATTAAGAAAAAAAATAGCCTGTTTTCCTAACTCTCCTTTATAAAGGACACAAAGGCATTGAAAAAAATTTTTTAAAGGTCTGCATTTTTTTTTTTTTTTTTTTGCGTTACGCGGGCCTCTCACTGCTGTGGCCTCTCCCGTTGTGGAGCACAGGCTCCGGACGCGCAGGCTCACTGGCCATGGCTCACGGGCCCAGCCGCTCCGCGGCATGTGGGATCTTCCCGGACTGGGGCACGAACCCGTGTCCCCTGCATCGGCAGGCGGACTCTCAACCACTGCGCCACCAGGGAAGCCCCCCAAGGTCTGCATTTTTTTTAATATTTACTTATTATTTTGGCTGCGGCAGGTCTTACTTGCGGCACGCAGGATCTTTTAGTTGCAGCATGTGGACTACTTAGTTTCAGCATGCATGTGGGATCTAGTTCCTGGACCAGGGATCGAACCCGAGCCCCCTGCATTGGGAGCTCGGAGTCTTACCCACAGGACCGTCAAGGAAGTCCCCAAAGGCATTTTTTAAAACGATAGGAGTGGGGCAGGGACTGTTGATTGATTCCCAAGCAGTCAATGGCATGTCATCCCCTGAAGGAAAGGTGATCTGCATTCTGGCCAGAATCTACTTTTATAGAAAGAGTCTGAGGAATAAGATGCTTTTCACCAAAAACTGCCACTGTTTTTATCTACCTGCGTTGTAGGGAAAATAATGAGAAATAAAAATAGAACTAATTAAATCTTAGCTTCAGTTCAGCCTTTTCTCATGCATTTGTGGCAAATCAACATCAAAAACATTTCTTTATTGTGGTTACACATGGAGAGGTGTGTTGTCATATGTATTAGGAACAGAAAGGGACATCAATCAATCGATGTTTCAAGGCAAAAGCTTTTATTATGTGCAAAGCATTGTAAGAAAATAACCCGGGGACTCGCCAAACGTGATGCAGTTAGAATTTGATATGTTCAGTGCTGTCTTCTCCACCGGCCTTCCTTTGGGTCTGAACATTTCATCATTAGCAGAGAAGGCATTTCAGAAGGTCCCTATCAAAACATTCATCTGTTACCCTTCTGAGCCTCTGAGACTAGCTCTAAGGGAAAAGTCCCAAGGGTTAGACACATTTTGGGATGGGAGGAAAGTAAGAAATAGTTTTATGGGCTTCTGGAAAGGAGACGTGTCTTAGCAGCCAGGGAGGGTTAGGATAATACAAAACTCAGAGTTAGGGAAATGTTTGCAGTCACTGGCCTCTGATATGGAACTGAAAGAAGCTGGGATCACATTCTACTCTACTAACTGATGGATTTATTTTTTTAAGCCAGTTGTTCTTGCTACCTTGCCACATTTATAGTATGTGTACAGACTGTTTTGTTGTTGTCCAGAATTTTGAATAGTGCCTCAAAGCCAAATCCCATGGGTGATACATGCCCTGGATTCTAAAGACAGGGGCTCACCCCACTGCTGCTAAGAAGTAACCAAACTGGTGGTCAGCCTTCACACCCAACACCTACATAAGAGAAACACCCAGACTCATTAGGGAGGCTTCCCGGAAGGGAATTCGTAACAGTTGGGAGGACTGTGGTGTCTCTACCCTTCCCTGTGAGGAGTGGTGGAGATGGACCTCAGAAGGACCACTCACAGATGGAGCTGTTCCCAGCAGGGAAGATGGGTATCTGAAACACACCCATCACACCTGTGCTGAGCTGCAGAAACTCCTGGGCTATGGAGGCACAGAGGAGGGTGCCTGACTACCACCGGAGCAGCCTGCAGCAGGGGGCTGGCTCGAGTGGGGCAGAGTGGCAGCACCCACCCTTCTGCCTTTTACTGGGGCAAGGATGGTAAGCTTTCTGTAGCCCAGATGGCTGCTGGGGCAGGCAGTCTGGGTGACACTGTCCTAGAGCGCTGCTGGACGGTGTGAATGACTAGAGCAGGAGCTGAGAGGGACTGGAAGAGGCCAGCCAGGAAGTCCAAAAGCCATATCAGGGAATGATCTGGAAGTTTTCTACAGAGCTCTCTGAAGAACCCATAAAATACCCCACCCAAGAGCTAGTAACTGGATTCTTGCCATAACAAAGAACAAGAGTGTATTAGAAACAAAACTATTTCTTTAAAAAGTAAACACTGGGGCTTCCCTGGTGGCGCAGTGGTTGAGAGTCCACCTGCCGATGCAGGGGACACGGGTTCGTGCCCGGGTCCGGGAAGATCCCACATGCCGCGGAGCAGCTGGGCCCGTGAGCCATGGCCGCGCTGAGCCTGCGCGTCCGGAGCATGTGCTCCGCAACGGGAGAGGCCACAGCAGTGAGAGAGGCCCGCGTACCGCAAAAAAAAAAAAAAAAAAAAAAACAGAAAAAAAACCCAACCAAACAAACAAAAAAGTAAACACTGTCCTTTGCCTTCTTCTGCTATAAACTCTCCTCCCCCAGGCTCTAGGGCTGCCAGAGCTGGGGGTTAGGAGGGGAACGGAGCAGGGGAGTAG